GAGAGCGTCTTCACTTTCCACCTCTCTGCATTCGGGGTTTGAAAACATATTTTTTTTTTTTTTTTTTTGCTTTGAAGTCAATATTTTACCAAAGGCTCTAGTTTACCTATTTTCAACTGATCTGGTCTGCTGCTTCTACAAAACATATTTAAAATTGATTTTGCATACCTTACCGAACCGAATCGACTTCAGACTAAAAAAAAAAGATGGAAATGAGACTAAAGATCTAAAAGATATAAACGATTTATTTAAATTTACCACTTTGGCTTAAACTAGAGGGAGCAAACATTGTTTGTATTACAAGTCTTTGCTCCTGTACATGGCATTCCTCACACTTCCCAGTCTTCAGGTTATTATTTTACCCACAAGCCCAAACAAAGCATAAAGGTTACATAGAGGGTGTCAAAAACACACCATTTCTCCCGGCTCGTTAGCCACAGCTCACCGACCGTTCGCTCTGCTAATGAGAACGTCTACCCGTTTCCAGCAAGCGACAGCCTTTTTCGAACAGCATTTATGTATTTAAAACTGTAACTGAGAGTAATTTATTGCTTCAGGATGTAAACATGCTGGATGAGATTTAAAACAAATCAATCTTCCACTTCTCAGATTTAATCGGACTGGTGCCAGTTACAGTTCGACACCTGAGTCCTCCTCACTCTGACACAGAAATGAGTAACTGTGAGCTGTCCAGGTGATGCTAACTGGCTAACGAGGAGAAGTGGAGCGAGTGAGCAACGTGTGTGTCATCATCCTGGTCAAGTTTTATGTCTTTTGCAACTTCTAACGGAATTTCTTTCTACAAATCCTTTCGCTCCATCCATCTTCCTATCAGCTCTGAGCAGATGCAGAAAACAAAAACAACTCCGCAGTATGATGCCGCCACCACCATGTTTCGACACTTCACAGAAGGAGTTGGTGTTAACTGCTGCTAAATTTGACATTTTGCATGTGATGCCACATGTTTCTGTGTTTCGATTTGTCGTGCGCCACTAAAATATTTCATCTTCTTATGGAGATGTGGAAAAGTTCAAGAGGTGTAAATACTTTTGTGACTCTCAAACTTCCCTGACAACCCAGACTTCTTCCCCATCATGTCTTTGTACCACACTCTTCCTTCTTCTAGCTCAATTTTTCCAGTAGAAATTTAGATTTTCTAAACTGAATTGCTTTGATGAAGCAGGTAAGGTGCTGACCAAGGTTGTTTTAATTAACTAAAGCAAAATAATGAAACGAAAATGAGAAAGCATTTTTGTTAACTGAAATGAATAAAATCGTAATTAACGGGGAAAATTTAAAACTAAATGGTACTATATTGTGAATTTATAAAACTAGTTAAAACATACTGAAATTACAACTGTGACATCTTTTGTTTTTGTGATTATGAATCTATTTCAATGAATGAACTGAAGTGAAAATATTTATTCGCCACACAAGCAGTTTACGTCAAATTACGGTCCTCCATACTCCTGGTGGTGACACTTACGTTAGATTACGCTAAATTGAATACATTTTTTTTGAAAATTGTATCCTCTGTTGGGCAATCGATGTATACATAATCACAATACAATACTCTGACCATTCTGAAGCTAAAAACTTAACAATATTTAACTTATAACTGATAAAAACTAGCAGACACACTCAAAAAATGAATTAAAACTAACTGAATTAGACAAACAAAAAGTCAAATAAAACTCAAATATAATAATAATAATAATAATAATAATAATAATAATAATAGTAATAACCTATTAGAATCCTTGTACTGACTACACGTAACTATTCACACAACCCCACTTCTAAAAAAGGTAAACTATCGCTCTGGGACTTCAGATAAAAGTGTGCAACTCCAAGACAAAATGACCGGCCCCAAGCAACATATTTACTGTGATGCCTGAAAGACAGAAATCAGTGTTCAACAGACCCAAAACAACTTCCTCTTTTGTACGTGTGGCAGAGCAAGCACACAATCATTCTGGCTTGCGTGTGCCGTTTAAAGTGAGTCCATAGCAGGCCTGCCCTCTCTGATAAGCAGGTCTGGTACACTTTGTGACTCTGCGTGTGTGTGTAGGTGTGTGTGTGTGTGTGTGTGTGTGTGTGTGTGTGTGTGTGTGTGTGTGTGTGTGTGATTGAGGTCCTCCAGGGATGGCTGGCTGGCTGAAGTGGTGGTGGGGAGGGTTGCATTCTTGGCCATCTCATGAAAAAAGGGTGCAACCATGGGAGTAAGCCAAGAGGAGGGCTCAATTATGCATGGTTAAACAAAGCCCAAGGCTACCAGAGAGCAATGTCTCAGCAAACTCGGCCTCACTGTGGAGTTCCAGACTCCAAGAGGACTTCTGCACAAAAAAATAAAAAAAAAAAGAAACCAAAAAACTAACTGAAGACATGAGAACGCAGCTCCTCATAAATCACTGGAGTGTGTTATGACAACTGCAGGCACTTTGAAACTAAACTTCTCAGAGGCCTGCAAAACACTGCGTAAAAAGAAAACATTGCCATTTACAAGAGGTCAACTGATAGATTATGTCGTTTACGTTACCAATAAACTATCCTGAGAGGTGGGTTAGCCTGCTAAGCGACTTGGATCTCCGAAAATGACCTGCTGATGAATTGTGGAAATGATTCCTCTGATAAACCTCTCAGGTCTCTGTTTTCTGTCTAAATCCAGATACGTCTAACACATTTAACACTTTCAGTCTAGATCGGGTTCAAAGACCTAATGTCGCGATTTCTTTGTTCAATCGTTGAAAGATGACCTTGAAGCAAACTGTAAAAGTATCATAAGGCCGATTAAAACAGCTTCCAACCGGACCCGAGGCTTGTTTTCCACAGAATACCTCGCAACCTCAGCAACTAGACACTCGGCATCTGGCCCCTCTTTCATTCGACACACAATAAATCGGAAACTATGTGGCTTTGGTTACATGTAAATTATAGCAGTTCTTCCAGAGCCCAAGGGGTCGAGGTGAAGGATCAGTATACATGCAGCACATAAGAATGGATCCAGGCTGAAAGGCTCGCTCTAACCATCTTCCTCTTGTTTCCACGGGAAACAGGAGAGGTGGTCCAGAGTTGGGTGACAGGGGCGTCCAAAAAAAAAAAGAAAAAGAAAAAAAAGAAACGATGCACAAACACAACCCTTACTGTACTTTGTGGAGAAAGAGAAAAATAACTAAACAATTTATTTCATTGCTCCATTGCATTTCTTAGGCATGAGATAGTTTTGATGTAAACTGTGAAACCAGCTTATGATTTATTAATAAAGCAACACAAGCGGCATTATGTTTTATTTAAAAAAAAAAAAAAAGTGGAAGGGGTTGCTGTTTTTTCTGCTGCATTTTGCCAACTTCCCCATTCTGGCGATATATATAGAAGATCAGTTACTCAACACTTCTGCTTTTGAGTGTTTTACATTTCATAACGCCCCAAACATCTTCACGCATCTAGGTTGGAAGAAAGCAGGAGTGTGAAATGTGATTTAGGGTTTTGTTGCTGAAGTAGGAAAGAAAAAAGTTATTAAAGGGAAGACTGTACTAGAAATAAAACTTATTGCTGTTGTTCATCCTTAGAGGCTGAACAAATTACACTGCCATCCACATTTACTCGAGACCATGCAATTAGTTATTTAAGTTAATGTGTTTGTGCAGAAATTATTAATTAGTAATTATTTTCTCCACCTTTTTCCTCTGGAGTACAAATATGATGTGATACAGTGCCCTCTTCAGAGTGGAAAAGACAAGAGAACAGACCTCTTATATTTAAAAGTCATTTAGTTTACAAAATAAAGTTTAAAACACCTGGAAAGGTGATAAATATGGCTCACCACCTGTAAATGCTGTTAGTATTAATATTCACCATCAGGTTAATAGACACGCATATTCTACCAGGACAAAAGTAAACAATAGAGTTGCTTAACCTCTACTGAGACTTTACCTTGAAATTTGCTTAGAGGAAACAAAAATGCTGCTTATTTTGCTAAATTTTTAACTTTGCCCTTATAAAAAGCCTAATGGCTCATCTTTAACTTTATTTTGCATGTATGGATGCAGTAAAAGATTTCTCTGGATTCATGATAGGATATAATAATACATAGTATAAAAGACGAAATTCCTAGATTTTATGCAATAAAAAATTGTTATTTGTGCTTCCTTTCAAACTGTCGCAGAGAAGTGAATCCAATCCAACGTCACATCTGAGAGCCCCGTGTCTCTCTCACTGTCAATAGGATCAAAAATGTCAAACTTGATGTTCAAAAGCAGTGACAACAGAAAGCCTCTGCAGTGGCTTGAATACAAAGTCAGCCACTTCTTTTTCTACAAGACACTGTAGATTGCTCACCCTCTGGAAAAAAATACTGTTTTTATTATTTGATTACAATTTGCTATGAATATTTCTTAATTTTGTAAAAAAAAAAAAAAAACCCCTGATATAAACAAGTTAAATATCAATTTCTAGTCTGCAGTCTTATTTCAAATAAATTTCCTAAATACCTTTGTGGAGCCACTTTTTCTGTGGCTTCTGTGGCGCATATTTGTAAAGCATTTCATATATCATGGTGATACATAATATTTTATATCCTGTAGTAAATCTCGGCAATGAATCAAAAATTAACCGACACCAAAACTTATGATGATCAATATTGATGTCATTGTACCCGTGTCAGTGTTTTTGACGTTTTAAAAAGATGAAATGAAAAGTTGTTTTTGTCTCTTTTGGTTGACATGCTTCATCTGAAGTTCCAAAATCGTCATTTTGTTCGCAGAGCGTTATCCGCCTGCCGAACTCGAACTATTTCGACGGAGCTCTGTGCAAAGTATTGTCTGATTGGCCAGAAGTTTGTATGACGCATACTGAATCTGAACCTTTTGGATTCAGTAGCTCTTACCAACTAAAGGTGCATATTTTCTTCATTTATTTGCAAATGGTGTAGTTTTAAAGTCCATTAAAGCGTCAATAAAATAATCACAAGAAAGTTTAGCTATGATACAGGTGTTACTCACCACATGAGCAGCAGGTGAAGCAGTTGGTGTGGTAGAGGTTCCCCATGGCCTGGCATGCCTGGCTGGCCCCGTACACTCCCTTCCCACATTTCACACAGATACCTGTCACAGACAATGGCTCTGTTATTGTCTGTTATGCACATTCTTAGAAAAAGCAGCAGAATAAAGAGATTAAGCTTCATACGTCAGCAAGATGCAGTGCAGCTGTCACAATGCAGACATGAAGAAGAATTTCTGGATGTGCAACAATGTCATCCCTGACTCCTTTCTTGTTAAGACAATGGGAAGATGTCTTTCTGCTCTGGCTTTATTTCTACTATTACAATTATTACTCAGCTTTCTGTGCTTCCGATTGGCTTTGAAGGCAAACAGAATTAGGAAATTCATAGGTTTGTCATTAAAACATACATTTTAACAAATTGTTCTGGACACGCAGCTCTGCTGAAAAGGGGAGGGGGTGTGAATGTTAAATCAGAAGAAATATTTCATGAATAAGTTGAGACTGTGACTGTACAAGGCTCCCTTTTGTCATTTCCATGCATTACATCATACTGTTAGAAGGCAGACGACTTGACGAAAGCTGAAGATTATATTTAAAAAAAAGCCTTGAGAGGAAACGATGTGGATGGGAGACGCATTCCAAAAAGAAAAGGCTGGAAGACAATGTTCCTGTACTTTTCCTTTATACAGGAAATGTCAAACTGATTGGGCAGAGAGTCATTTTTACCTTAAATTTCACAAAGAATTTATATAAAAAATATTCAGCCTAGCACATCAAACATACCAAGTTAATCTAACTAAATCACAATCCTTTAAATCTAAAGACACTAATATGTATATTGACAACAGAATATATTTAAAAAGTTGATTTATTAAAGCAATTATATAAAAAAGGGAAACATACTTTCCTTACAAACTGAGTGAAAACTTGTATACGTATTGCTTAACCCAGAGTTAATTTCCTCCAGAAATTAGATTACAAAAGAACAAAAAACCAACTTTTTTTTCATACCAAAATGTTAAGTAACGGAACTCACATTTAACCCAAAGCATATTAATGGAAAGTTGAGTGGAAGGTAAAAATATGGTGGACTAATTTCAGATCTTATGTTTAAGTCACATTGACTAGAACAAATTCCTCAGAAAATCCCTTTTGATTTTCAAAATTTACACAAAAAAATACATTGTTCTATGTGTAATTAATCCATATAAGTATTTCTTTTAAACGATTAAATAAAATAAATAAACATTTCAAAAATGTATTGAGATGCACCTACATCTAATTACACAGATGTCCGTGCATACAGGTGTTTTTGCCAGACACTGGGTGATGCTCTGCTGAACCCACAGACAAAAACCATCCACCGTCCTCCACCAAGTAACCGGCTCCACAAACTACTGTCATCTTCAGTTAGCAAACAAGAAAGCAGTGTCTCACACGGTTTGATGGACAGCAGCAGCAGAAGCTTAACGATCTAAAATCTCTCCAACACAAGACAACCTTCATTGAGGTCACATTCCTCAGCGAGTGCAGGGTCAGAGCCTTGATGGGGTGAGTCTTGGGTCAGAGTACCCACAGGATGCAACTTCGTACAAGATCCCACCAGGGGATCTGAACGCCAACACCCTCCTCCCCTCATGTGAGGAAATAAATACCTTCCTTTATCATTGAAATACAGATTTTTCCGAATGCATTTGAAGCATTTGCACGGTGCCAGTAGGCGACGTTGTGGAGTTTGGTAATTATTTCGCAACAGTTCCAGTGAAAGTTGCGTTAAATTAAATGCAAAACAAACCTTAATTAAATCTTTTCATTACTTCGGCGAGCTGAAAACAGAGACATGGAAACGCTGTTGGAACATGTGTTTCCTGCTTTCATGTTTATACAAAATGAATAAATAACAGAAAGCACCAAACATTCAATACAACAGTCTACTTGTTGTGTGCAGTATCTGAGGGAAGTAGTATCATATGTGTACAAACAAAAAGATGATGTTTCGACCACGCAAGCACCAAAGAGTTAGCATCTGGATGAACTGACTGACCTCGCAAACCAATTATACTAAACTGAAGCTGACAGTGGCTAAATTAACACTCCTTCCTCCAATTCATTGCTTTTCCCATCTGGCTTCAAAAAGTAAAACAGCACCAAACACAGACCTTTTAAATACGGATTACCAAAGGGTTGGATTACGTCACAATAACAACAATAGCCAGAAGATCATCAATTTGGATGTCACTGATGCAGATTTTTGTAAGCATCAACAAGCTTCTAGCATCATTTTTGTCTGGAGTCTTTGTACAAGAAATGATGAAGCTCATTTAACTTAGGTGGACCCTTATTTTTATTTTATTTTTTTTTTGTGTTGTCAATGGGCTTGAAGTCAGAAATTGGGTAGGCCATTTCTGTAAATCAGTTTTAAATCTGTTTGGGATTTTGTTCTGCTAACACCACGCTGTTGCCCTCTAATAGAAGACACATCGGTTACAATGTTCAGTAATAACACCATGTTAACCGTGAAGCACGGTGGTGGTGGTGTTAAAATCATGCTGTGGGTCTATTTTGGTGACATTGCTACAGAGCATTCAACAAGTGAGGAGACAAACTGATCAAATTCACATAAAATTAACGGCTCTAAGTTTGAAACTTCAACAAAAACGGATTTTCCAACAGGACAACGAACACAAATACATTAAAACTTGTGACTGAGTGGAAAAAGCAGGCAAATATGAATGATTCTGGAAGGGCCAAACGCCTTGAAAATGTGAGTAGCACCATGCTTGGAAGCACCAAACACAGAGTTGCATGTTGTAACTCTTAGTTTAGACAATTATTGGTTGTGAAATTGAATTAATCACCCTGATTTTAGGCTTCCTTGTCACTGGCTGGTGTCTCTCAGGCCAAAGGCTGCAGGCCAAAAGTGTAAAGAAGGAAAATCAATGATTATCTGGATTACATCACATGCGAGTCAACAATGATCCCAAAATAAACTCAATGTGCTTTAGCCCCAAAGTTTTATGTTATTAGGCATATTTATGAATAGAGTTTTTGAATTTGCACGATTAACGATTATTTTTCCATATATAAGTCTGAAAAGTGGGTTAGATGAGACGTTTATTCTTATTCCTCACATCTGACCAATTTCCTTTACAAGTCACCTAATTAGCTAATAGATTCCACCTGTGTGTAACTTAATCTTACTATAAATATTTTGCTCTATGAAGGCCTCAGAGGTTTATTTGAGAACATTAGTGAACAAACCACATCACAAGCCAGGGAGCACAGCAGTCAGGTCAAGGATAAAGTTGTGGAGAAGATTAAAGCAGGCGAGGTTATCAAACAAAATCCCAAGCTTTGAACGTCTAACAGAGCTTTCCTAAATCCATCATCTAAAAATGGAAAGAGCATGTCACAGCTGTAAACGTTCCAAGACGTGACTGCCCACCTGAAATTACAGCTCAAGAGACGAGGAAGACTGAAAATATTAGTTATTTAGCATAAATCTGGCCACTTGCATGTTTCCCCAAGGTGAGATATGGAAGTGGCAGAATCATGTTATGTCTTAACATGATTAAATCATAACATGATTTAACAAGAGTTCAGTACAAAAGACTTGAGATTAAGAAATGAATTTATATTTCAGCAAGACAAAAAAAGAAAAACCTAAACACACAACCAGAGAGCTATAACAAAATGGAGAAAATATACAACAGAAAATATATAAATGAATAAAAGTATATAGTTGCCAACATAATGACAAGAAAATAGATCTAAAAGTAAATTTGGTGTCAATTTGTTGTGGAATTTCAATGCAATTGTTCCATAAAAACAAAAGAAAGGCCTGCATTTGTTTTGTATCTATATTTAAAAACTTTCTATATCATTTTTAGCTATTTTGGAAAGTCCAAAGGACCACTTCTTGTCTCGGGTTGCAGACTTTTAGTTTAGATTAAAGGATATTCATGTTTTAGAATGGCCCAGTCAAAGTCCAGACCTATATTTAGGCAAAACTTGAACATTGATACATGTAGACATTTCCAACCAGTCTAAGTGACAGCGTATGAACTAGAAGATAAATCACCCAGAAGATTTACAGTCAGAACTGCAACAAAATGTTGTCCTACAAAGCACTGACTTATGGGGTTAAAAACCATGAATTATTTCGCTTCCACTTCTCAATTACAGGCAGCTTTGAAGGCGTGGCGTGTCAAAATGTTGACAAGTTCAAAGGGTATGCATACTTTCGCAAGGCACTGCATTAGAGATATGGATCCTATTATATCTTATTCTTTTGTATGGCTTCATTGCATGAATAATCCGTGGCAAATGATCTCCCGCCATGACTCTTTGGCTTTGACTCCAACAACTAGACAGAAGAGGATGATTTATTTACACAGCTCCATCGAATTACCTCCACATCTTTCTTCCATCTAGCTGAAGCTCTGCTGCTGCTGCTGCTGTTACTTAACAACCCCACACCATGTGCTAGCAAGACTTTTGAATTTTCACGCGTCAACTTGTAAACATTAACAGTAAACGTGATTTATTGTCCCACATGCAATAAATCCTGGAGCGTCTCTGAAGTGAGGATGTGGTTATGGTCTTACAGGACAGGGGGCAAATCTCCCGAGCGCTCTTTGTTAGTCATTGGAAAACAGGATGCAGGATTTCTCGTGTGCCCATGTCAGAACATGTAGATTTGGCAGGGGCCAGCATGCAGCGTGCACTCCATGGTTAAAAATAAAACACCATCACTTAACGCAACATACATTTGTGGCTTTCCCAGCCGTAATGTCTACGTTTCAGATGGCAGTCTGGCAGAAAGCACCCCTGCTCAACGCCAGCGCGTTATTCTTGTGAGAAAGTTTTATTGGTGTCAGATTCACATGCATTTGGTAGCTGAACCTTTCTGGGGGAGGGTGGGGGAGGGAAATATCACTGAAATCTAATACTGGAGATCAAACAGAGGAAACTCTTTCCAACGAACTGGATGTAATGACGGCACAGCTTGGGATTATGTAATGCTATTGGAATATATGATTAGAGAGTCTTACAAAGATCGTGCTACTTTGACCAAAAACGGTGTATGTGCTGTGGGTTGTAAGCAGACTTGCGCAGCCTGATTCATCAAACTTTTAACAGCCATCCTGTGAGGTTTTGGCTTCTTACAGACCAAAAATAAGAACTCTGAGAACTTCTGCAGTGTCAGGTTTCGTTTCCACTGCATTGCTGCTAAATAAAATAGAATCTCTACAGATGTTTTCTTACAACACAGGATGCATGTTCAAGGAAAAAAAAGTGGAAAAAGTGGATTAAGTGCACGGTAACACCTGAGGTTTGCCTAGGTTGAGGGATATAAGCATTTTATATCAGTCAATATTGATAATTATTGATTATTTATTTTGTTTTAAATATCTGAAATGCTGACAAACTGGTGAGTGGACCTTTATACTTTCCAGAATTTGAACCAGGTGAAATAAAAACTGTGCCACTTGACAAACTTTAGTTATAACAAATTTATAGACAAAAGATTTTTTCTTGTGCAAATACACTTTTTGTACAGTTTTATCTGAATTACTGCTCTGAATATGTGATTTTTTTCAGCAAATTGCCTTTTTTGAGTCTTTATTCTCCAGTTAACAACTAATTGATTATAGAATTATCTAATGATTATTTCAGTAATCGATTATTCACTATTAACCTGATTAATCGTTTCAGCAGGACTTATATTTGTAATACAAATGAAAGGAATGAAAAGGTGCCCTTAAATTGGTTTAAGAAATACTAAGACTATTTAGTTTATACATGCTATCTATCAGAACTAATGTAGCCTAATATTGCAACATGAAGATCTCACATTTACATTTTAAGTAATAATAATAAAGTAACGATAAAAGAACAACTATCCTCATGCATTGGTTTTTTTTATTTTTTTTTTTTTTTTTTTTTTTGCAAATGTGCATAAAAGGTAGTGAACTCTTCAAACATGCAGCATGTCTGAGGCTTCAGTGCGACACCAAAACCGCACGCTGTTGTCCACAAGTCAGCATGTGTGTGTCAGGCATGTGCATGACTACTGCCATTATAATTCTGGGCAGGTGATCAGACTTGACCCCCACTAACTATGTCTGGCCCGCCAGCCAAGATCGTGTGCCAAGTGTCTGGTGCTGCCCGACTCCCCACTGGCTGGTTAATGAAGGGCTTTTGCGGGGGAGTCGGGCTGGGGTGGGGTGTGGGGCTGCTGGGGAGGAGGAGTGGAGCGGGCCTCACTCTGCTGCTTCATTTGCAAGCTTCCATCGGGCCCAGCTGTTGATTCACAGCTCCTCTGCAACCACAACAAACAGAGGCCACACAAGGGCCAGCCGGCAGCACGGAGCAGGCAGAGCGGGACCACTGGCAGGCATCGCTGGGGCCCCCTGAAAGAAGCCCCGGCGATCAATTTCTACACTGTCGCTACAGAAACAGAGCTGTCTCTATTGGGCTCAAACTGAGGAGCGTCTGACTGCATTCTTCTCCCTCCCTCCTCCTTTCTCTATCCATCTCTATCTATTACCACCTCCATTATCTCCTCAGCTCTTCCTCCTCCCAGCCCTCCCTCCTGTCTTCCATCTCCCTGCTTTCACCTGCTCTTCTGGAACAAATCCACAGCTGTCTCGGCTCACTCCGAGCAAGTGCACAGGCAACAGAACCAGCCACTGTTTTCTCACCGCGACCATTTGTCTGTCTGCAAACTCTAAAGGTGGACTGGAACTTTCTCAGCAATCCTAACATATTTGAAAGACAAAGTCTCATGATAGCGCACTGCGTGGCAAAAAAAAAACAATTTTTTTTTTTAGTTCAGAAAAATAAAGGAAAGAGAAGGTGGTTATTTAAACAGCAAATGCGTTTAGTCCAAAAATGTCTCTCAGATGGCACCAAGGGGATTGCGTTGAGCTCGCCTTGCCCTCACTCCCATTCAGTAACTCCCAAAGTGCACTTGATTTTCAACAAACCCCCGACCACACTGCTCCAAATGACAGAAGGGTGTGTGCTCTGCCAGAACAGAGGGCTCCATTCAGCGCCGTGCCGTTTTCTGCAAATGTTAGCTCTGCCAAGACATTAGCACTGCCCTACAAAGCGACTCTTATCAGCCAGAGGGTGACCTGTTAATGGTGATGTAGCATTAGCATGCTGCAAACAGACTTGCAAGGAAAGGAATGCCTATAAATAAGCTCTGACAGCCACGGAGAAACCTCGCTTAAAATCTGTGAAATTCCAGGTTTTAGTAGCGACTGTCTACATTGAAATACGGTATGGATGTTTCATGACTTTGCTTCCTTTATGGTATCAAATCTGGTAGGTTTTGCATGCACAGGAATAAGGTCTCATCACCATTGCATGATTCTGATTGAACTTTACTGGCGACCTGTGGGACTGGGCCTGAGCACCTCTGATCAGATTTCTAATCCGTAAAGCAACTTCATCAAAACAGCCTGTCTGAATCTCTGATGACTGTCTTAAGCTCCTTGTTCGCACCCCATGCTAATAAAAGCAGAATTAAAAACAGAACTGAAGAATAAACTTTTTGATTTCTTGAAAAACTCAAGACAAAATAAAATCAAAAAGGTATAATTAGAGATGCGTCAATCAAGTTTTTCCTGCTTGCTATAGACTTTCTGGTTTACTTTCAGGTTCGATTCCACATTTTGGAAATATTCCACACAAAAGAGAAAAATTGTGCTCTTTGCTCACTGATAAAATAAGGAATTAAAGATTTTCTCTTTATGGATCAAAAGCATATATTTACCTTCCTAAAATAATGGTAACTTTTTGCCAAAAAGTATTTTTGGCGCAAAAAAAAAAAAAAAAATTTTTTTGACAAAAAAGGCCATTGTCTTATGATGGTAACACCTTCATCATTCATCAACAGTTGACTGATGTCTTAATGAACCAAAAAAAAAATACCTGGACTTTGATTTACTTATTTAACAAGAAATTAATCAGATAGGAGAATAGTAAGGTTATTGATTATTGGCGCATCTCTAACTTAGATAAACTGTAACAGTGTCGGATAGATAAATTACTCGTTTCTCAAAAAGTCAACAAACCTACCAAAGTATTCCTTTTTCATGTGCATCTCCAACTCCTTCTCCAGCTCCAAGGTGAGCGCCTCCAGCCGTTTCTCCGCCTGGCTCGGCCCATTCTCTCGGCTGGGGGTCACCTGGTAAGGTAACTTATACCTCTGCCCTGACGAGGCCGTCTTTGACGACACGCCATAGCTAAAGGAGGACGGCGAGCCGGCGCTCATGTCCACCGTCCCCCCCGCTTGAGCCAGCTGCGGCTGCGGTTCGGACACCGTCTGCAGATGGGTGCGAATCTGAGCCCCGTTAGAGTCTCCGTACTCCTGCAGTAAGGCGTCCTCGGGTAGACCGCTGCCCAGCATGGATGACCTGGGCGAGGGCAGCTGCAGGTCCGGGTAGGTGCTCATTGACCCCCGGGAGCTGCGGGAGCTTCTGGAGCTGTGGCTGGAGATGCTGGACCGCGGGCTGACCACACAGTTCGCCGCGGTCCCCGGCCTGGCGCTCCCGTCCTGGCTGCAGATGCTGGAGCGGGGACTGGCCAGCGGCGCAGCATGCAGCATCATGGACCCCTCCAGGTCATGGTTGACCACAGGCCCGTACCGCGAGTCAGAGTAGCTGGATCTCGGGCTGGTGGTGAAGGAGTACTGGCTGGCCGTGCTCGACCTGGGGCTGATGTGCCTCTGGTCGTAGCCCATGCTGATGCCGCTGGTTCGGTTGCTGCTGGGCTTGCTGCAGCAGTCGCAGCTGTTGAGGCTGGTCCGGGGGCTGGAGTGTTTGCTCGTGTCACTGGCCGTGCTTGCATAGCTGGATCGAGGGCTGAGGATGCTGTTGCCCTCACAGTGAACCAAGCTGGTCCTGGGGCTGGTGTACCTATTCTGACCCGGTACCACCAGGCTGGTGCGCGGGCTGCTGATGCTCGATCGCGGGCTGGCATGCTTGCTTTGCTCCTGAGAGGACAGGGAAGATGCCAGGCTGGAGCGGGGACTGGCGGCGCCGTACCTCCCGTCGTGGCTGCTGGTTATGCAGACACTGTTGCACCTGTTGCCGGGCAGCGGCACCGCTTTGTTGAGAGGCACTCCATCAAAGGTGGAGCCGGTGCTGTACCTGTGGCCCTGCACCTCTAAGGAGTACCTCCGGTGCCTCTCGGACGTGCCAGAGTAGCACGGCAGAGCCACTTCGGATTTGGTGCAGCAGCCCTCCTCACTGTACGGAGAGTCTCTCTGAGGGGCGCAGAAATCCACGGGAACCGGCCGGCTGCAGTTCACGGGACGCACAGGAGCCGCGTTGTACACTTTATTCCCCGGCGTGAAATTCTCCAAAGTGTGATTCTGCTGGTGGAGCACAGAGGTACCATTCATCGGCTTGGTTTTCAGCCCCGCCACCGCCGGAGCGGAGAAGTCCAAATCTGGGTTTATCACCAAGTCCCTCCTCGCGTTGTACATCCCGTCTTTGTAGGCTTCGTACAGGGAAAGGTCCTCCATCAGTGTAGCGGCCCGGAGTCCCAGGTCCTCCTCGTAACGCTCCATGTTGCGCTCCAGAGACGAGAAACAAGTTGAGAGTGCGCTGCGCTCCGCGGAGCTCTAATTGTGTTTCACATGGAAATCAAAACAAAACGCCGCCGCGCAGCCGTCGCTCCTTCACGCAAAACCGCCGGCCGAGGAGCAAACCCGCACCGCAAGCCGCATCGTCCCCTTCCGCTTCCCTCCCAGCGCCGAAAACCAAACTCTTTCTCACAGTATCAGCCGACAGCGATGCGTTTGTCAACTTCAGTTTTTGTTAAGTTGAAAGGTCTTTACAGTCAATGGCGCGCTGCGCGGAGGAATTTCTCCTTGTTGGTTTTTCCTCTACATTTCTCTTACAGCTGCTTCAGTGGAAGCTAGACCGTGTTGGATAATCCCATATTCCACACATATGCTTCTTATTCCGGTATGTGCGCAGTGAGAGCGGGGGAATTGAATTTAAAGGCGTTTTTACGCGGGGGACTCGTTCGCCTCTCTGGAATGTGGGGAAGGAGACGGGATGCGATGCGCCTCTCTGGAATGTGGTTAATGCTGCAGAGAAACAATGATTGCGACCAACTCAGCAAGGGGCTGCCCGAGTCTGAAGAGAATAGTTTAGAGAGACGGGGACATCTGCATTCATCCTGTGCAGACTGAAATACGCCACAAAGCATGCTTCACCTGGTCCGAGTCCTCCTGCAGCAGAAATGCCGTTCACTCAACAGAGATCAACAGGAGTTGCTCTGCTTTTTATTTCTCTATTGCACGATTTATCTTGGCGGGGGGGGGGATGCGCTAAAAATTCTTTATTTAGCGCCTGTTGCCACATTATAGCGCTATATTAGACTACACATATCAAACGCATCAGAAAATCGTTACCAAGTTAATTTCAGTAAGCCAAATCAAATCGTGAAACTTAGATTTATTTTATTTAACTTGTGTATTTCAAACTTATATTTCTGTTAGCTTTGATTGTTATATCTTGGTACACATTTAGTCTGGGCTCCTTTTTTTTCCCTACAAGACCTCATCAATGCTGTGGAGAAATCAAGTTGTGGTTATGCTGAGGTTTTAAGAAAGTCCATTCTGCTAAAAGTGGCCTTCAGCTCGCCTGTATAGTTCAGCTAGATGTCTCTCATTTTAACAAAACTCCACAGATTGTTTGTTCGGGTTAGGTCCAGCACAGTGACTATTTAAGGAGATATTCGTACTTTTTGCCAGTGTTGTCCACCGAGAAGTCCAGCAGGAGAATTAAATCAGCCTTTTCAAAAAGTCTGTCAGGAAAGCCAAGCATAAGCTGGTCTAAGATTTCCTGGTAGGTCTGATAAAAGTGAATGGATCTACACCAGCTGATGACACGACTCACTAAATCATCACTGACTGTGAAAACTTCACACTGGCTCTCAAGCAGCTTGGATTCTTTGACTCGCCATTGTTCGTCCAGATTCTGGGCCTCTGGTTTCCAAATGAAATATGAAATTTAGCTGAGAAGACAACTTTGGACCACTAAGCAACACTCCAGTATTTTTTCTCTTCAGCTTAGGTAAGATCCTTCTGATCTTGCCTGTAGTTCAGGAGTGACTTAACACAAGGAATGTGACAGTTGTGTCATTTCCTGGATACTTCAGTCTGGAGTTCTTAAATCTTTGACTCCAGTTGCCGTCAACGCCTTATGAATATCCCTCAACCTGCTGAATAGGATTTGCCTCAAAGTACTCTCAATCCACTAGCAACAGCTTATCCCTGTTGCTAGTGGACCTTTACTACATTTTTCTTTCCACTCAACTTTCTAACTAAGTGTTTTGTGAAAACTCAGGTTGTCAATGGCTTTCTGCTGATCAACGGTCAAGTTAGCAGCGTTTCAATACAGAGTAGGCCGTAACATCGCATTTCTGTTTCCATTAGATGTAAGGACATGGCCTGTAAAAGTAAGAACTACACCATACAAACAAATTCATTCAGTTTATTTATAGTGTGAAACTGTAACAAATGCTATCTTAAGGCACTTTACAATGAGATCCAATTCATCTGCAGAAGCATAGAATCCAATTTGGTCCGAGTTCAGTTCAAAATAATTCAGTAAAGTCACATTCAGATCCAATTACATAGTGTAACTCAGCTCTGTTTCTAACACAGTACAGTCAAAGTTGTAAAAAGCAATCTATCCAAGGAAGTCCAGCTGATTGCTTTGAGTTACCATCAATACCTCCTACTGAGAGAGCAGAACTTTAATGTAAGAGTATGTAAGTGTTTTATTCCTAAAACATTGTTAATATTCTGAGTTTGACTTTAAAAATAAAATAAAAAACACAATGAATGTTGGATCACAGTTGTCAGACTGCATTAACTTATAATACCGTTAAAGTGTGTCAATAAAACATGTAATTATGAATCTTTATCCCCATCGACTGAATGAAAACAGAGGTAGTGTTGTTTGAGTCATTATAAGCAACAAAGACAGGTTAGTCCCAGAGTTTTCTTTTTTTTAGCTTCAAATGAAACACGATTGATTTCTGCGTTGAAGTATGAAGATTTTAGATCAATTAAAACATAAAAAGCAAAGAATCTGTTTCTTCATCAAGCATCTGAAGCACTTTGTGTTACACTTTGCTGTATGACAAGTGCTGGATAAGTTCATTTTGATTGACTGATTGTAGCTTGAAGAGCTTTTCACCAGCTGCCAGCAACCGGCAGAAACGACAAAACCACAGCAATAAAAGCAGAAACAAACAGGAAGTTGAGTATTAATCTCCTGAAGACGGAGCCGTGACGCCTCTTCCCGTGGCCTCTGCTTTTGAACCACTGTACCACCTCGTCCAGGTTGTGGTCCTGTGGCTCATATCCCAGCTCCGCTTTGGCCTTCGCCATGCTGAAATAATGCGTAACTCCGGTTTTATACACCTCGGTGCGCGTCAGCAGGGGCTGAAAGTTGTAGAACGGGCCGATGAGATGGTGAATCAGTTCGGTGAGAAAGGCAAACAGGTAGATGAGAGAGATGGGGAAGCGGAGTTTGGGGAAAGGGTAGCCTAAGCCTTCAACCAGAGGTCGGAAGAATTCAAAGTTATTGACCGGCCTGCCGTCCGAAATGAAGTAAGCCTGACCAGCAGAGCGATGTTGCTTCTCTGAAGTTAAAGCCTCTGCAGCTAGCATGTGGGCAGACACCAGGTTATCCACGTGGACGAACTCCACCAAACTGCTGGGACTACCATAAACAAACCTAAAGATCCCCCTCTCTATGTAGCTAACTATCCTAGGCAGGTGCCTCTGCTCACCAGGCCCATAGATACCTGCTGGGCGCAGGGCACAGGTTCTCAGGACCCCAGGGCTACCAAACAGAGCTGCTCCGTTTGCCTGGAGCACCGCCATCTCCGCCAAGGACTTGGTTCTAGAGTAGTGGTCGGGATGAAGGTGGAGTGGCAGATAAGGAAGACTTTCATCGCCATTCTCTATCACTTGGCCTCCGAACACCACATTGAAAGTACTGGTGTAAACCAACCTTGACACTCCGTTCTCCACACAAGCTCTCAGGATGTTCTTCGTCCCCTGAACGTTGACTGCCTCAATCAGATGTCTATTCAGCTGCTCTCTGCCAGACATCCCATAAGAGGCAATGTGAAACACACAGTCTACACCAAACACGGCCTTCTCAACTTGTGCATATTCACGAATGTCTCCTTGCATAAACATCATGTCTTCAGGAAGTTCTTGGCATGGTGGAACGGTGTCAAATAGGGTGATTCTGGCTCCTCTTTTATGCAGAGCGCATGCAAGGCTGCAAATAAACAAATTAATATGAATCTCATTAAAACTTATACATATCTTCAACGACATTCTTAGATGCCTTTGGAGCAAAAAACAGCGTGACAATGCCATCTTGTGGACATGAAGCAGAATTGCATAGTATAGTTTGCTTACATTGAATAATTTTGATAAATAAATGGAAAATTGTTCTTACCGAAATCCAAAATAGCCACAACCTCCTGTCAATAAAAACACATTTTTGTCCATCTGTTCGTTTTCCATTGCAAGAGCGACGATCTGTGAATTTAGATGATTGCAGAAATTTAGAGGAGAAGACAAAAGTAACCTCAATTTTAAAAATCATAACAACTGAAACCCCCCACTCCTCCCGCAATACTTAATGGCCCTGATGTAAATTTATTGTATGTCATGTCTGAATTCTCAAAGCATCCATAAATTTAACTAAAACTTACATAAAATTGACAAACTCTGTTTTCAACAATGACCTTTTCAACTTATAGACATAATATACCAGGCTTTTGCATCTTTGCTCTGACGCATTACTTGGCACTGGACTGAAATTTGTGCTAAAAAAAAAAAAATCCTGTTTTTTTTTAAATGAAAATTTTCTACTAAAACTGGTATTGCAGACACGTTAAAAACCATACTAAAAATTTGTTTTAAATTTCTGCACAAAAAAAACATCTTTATCTCTTTCCAAGTTAAGGCAATATCAAAGTAGAAATGTCTGTAAAGTTCTAGACAAAGCTATTATTTATCAGCATTAGCAGTTTTTAATTCGTGTCACCGCATCTAACCATCACAGATGACCGAGTTAGTTCTGGTGTTTTACTTCTTTTAAAGTTGTCAGACCCTTTGATGCTGCATATCAAAATATTCTGGCATCAATTTTAGAACATGTTGGTTTTAAACATAAAGCTCTAATTTTTTTAAAGTTGTACCTCATAGGGAGTTATTCCTTTTCTTCAGCGTTTCTCAGTTTTGGCGTTCTACTAAGTCCACTACTCTTTATTTTGTAGTAACGCCTTACTCGCCTTTCATTATTTGCATCCTTCCATCACCTCTTACGTTGGACTACAGTGATGCTCTATATGATGAACCATCAACTTCAGCTCTGAAATCTCTCCACTGGCTTCTTTTCCGGTTTCTCGCTAATTTTAGAATGAAAGATTTAAGTGGAGTTATTTTATTCCTTTTTAATTGTATTTCACTTGTTCTTGTATTCTGTCTTTATTTTATTATTTGTTTGTATGGCAAACTTCTGTTGTTTTAAATGCAGTATAAGTCTGACAATGACATCTACTTTAGCTTTGCCCTTAACTTTGATTCTATGTTGTGAAATTACTTCTCATATTAGAAGGTATGGTAGCACTGCATTAAAAAAAAAAACAAATGCCTCACATTCAAATATCTTCAAATATGTTTTTTCCAGCTCCAAGTAGCTTAGACGTGCTTGAAGAACAACTTTTGGATATTTGCATGATCGTTATGTTTACTCATATTATGACATTATAACTTTTAAGCTGAAAACTGCAGAAATTCTAAAGCTCTCCTCAAAATTTGAAAGGATACACGAAAAATATTTTTGTAGTAAATCACATTAAATTTTTGTTACTATTTGGAGATCTCCAAGTCGTACAACAGCCCACCCTTAGCCTACATACCGTTGTAATGTGCGTAGCTATCTGCTCAGATATTAACTAGTGGCACCCACCTCTTCATAAGCTGGTAGAGAACGACAGAAAGGTCCACTGTACTGATAGCAGCAGGCAGAGCAGTTCGGCGAGCACTTCCCTGTATGGTCGCCTGGTTTGTTACGTATTCACGTCCGATCATTGAAACACATAGACGTAAGAAGTGTAGACGCTGTTATTGGCCTGCACAAGCGGTTCGCTATCAGAGTTCGCCATGTTGCGAGTGGCAAGATCTTTCAAAACAAAACTGTGCTCACAACCTGCTGTTTTTATCTGTTTGACGAATTTTAATAATTGTTTTGATATGGAATAATATGTCACAGATATTGAAAAGTGTAGGGAACAAAAGATAAACAAAATGTATGCAATTAAACCACTTAATTAGACCTAATTTAAATCATAGCTAAACTGTTTATTGTAGCTTTTTTGTTGTGTCAACAGGTGCAATGAATAATAAAATAAATAATTATTGGCATTATACTAAAAAATAAGGTATAAAATTAATGCATAGTCTATTGCCTAAACCTGCTTGTAAGGTAACGGACAAGCTACACGTCAACAGCAGTCATTGATCCACAGAGATCAAAAGGCAACATACACACACACACACACACCTAACTGTGGACATCATACAATATCCATGCGGAAAAACTCCTGGATTTAAAAAGCAAGGGCCTTCTTGCTGCAAATTTATATCTCAGTTTAACATAGGGGAGTCACTCAGCTAAACATAAGCACCAGCAGCTGCCACTAGCAATATGGCGGTCGGCGTGGTGTCTAGGTAATCTAGGTCTGTGATTTTGCCGCCGCATTGGTATGCAACGAGTTATACATGTTATACAAGATCAAAATATGAAAATGAAAATTTGGTACCTTAAACATAATTATTAATCAGCTGAACTCAATGGTATCATCAATAAGTCGAATTTTGATTAGATCAATAAAATTAAATTTTATGGAACCGGAAATTTTGGTATTTTTCAGAATAAAAGTGGACATATTTTAAAGATTTAACTAGAGGAAATTCCTGAATCTTCTTCTAACTTCTGTATGACACATTTAAAACATAACACAATTAACTGAAATGCTATAAATTATGGCGTGTAACGAAACATAAAAAGAAAAAAAACTAAGTCTGTTCGGTTATTTTAAAGTGGCAGTCCCCCTAGTTTTTTTTCTTTTCTTTTTTTCTTTTCTTAGCCCCACATTTCATGGAGGCCGCACGTTTACAGATCTAAGTAGTTATCTGTGTTATCAGCACCAAACGGGGACTCCACTCCCAGAACTGCAGGCTGTTATGTCATCCTCTGAAGGTAAGAGTTCATTTTAAAACACTGAACAAAGGTTTTCCAGATCGATCGATGAACTCGTTGTAGTGTGCATTAAGCGCTGGTGGTCAAGTACCACCTTCTCATGATGGTCGATTCTTATGAGTTTACATTTTCTTGATTTAGATGTAACCATAAAATGATACTAATGACTTTTATTATGCTAATGACTATTATTTTAGTTTTGCATGTGTAGATGTTACCCTGGGTAATATTTCTGAGTTTAAAAATACCTGTGTATGTCAGACAATTGAGAACCAAATGGATCCATTGGGATAGACCAACACAAAGTAGCGCTTTACTGTGATGCTTAGGAAAATGATGCATTATCTTCAGCATACCTTAGCAAAACCAAATCCGCTATTGATGATGTAAAAGCTCGTTCTACAAAGTAATGACACAAAGTGCTTAATTAGATTATAATGACTACAACTAATTTCTGTGGGACATAATTGTGTCAGTACTTTGCATTTTACAGGTAGGATGAATTTGGAGGAGTACTTCCAAAGAATTGGCTTCCATGGCCCTTCTGATAAAATGGATCTCGCAACTTTGAGGTCCATCCACAAGCTGCATGTCATGTCGATCCCTTTTGAAAACCTCAGTATTCACTGTGGAGAGTGGATCACCATGGACCTGGAGACTATTTTCAATAAGGTGGTGAGGAGCAGCCGTGGAGGCTGGTGCCTTGAGAACAACTACCTGTTTGGATGGGTGCTGAGAGAAATGGGCTTCAGTGCCACAACACTGAGCTCCAGAGCTTTCAATAGGATCATTGATGACTTTGGTGCTCTTGATTCTCACCTAATTCACAAGGTTATCATTGATGGGAAGGCTTATATAGCAGACGTAAGCTTTGGGGTCTCATCTCAGATCTGGGAGCCGCTGGAGCTCGTCTCTGGAAAGGACCAGCCACAGGCAGCAGGCGTGTTTCGTCTCATCGATAAGGGCGACATCTGGATCCTTGAGAAGACAGGCAGGAAGCCAAAGGTTCTCAATCCAGAATTTGCCAAATCCAGCCTGGTGAACAGGAAGGAGACGAAGCCAATCTACTGCTTCACCCTGGAGCCTCGACAGGTTGATCATTTCTTTGAGAAAAGTCAGAGAATCCAGAGAGATCCAGCCTCCCTCTTCACCAACAAGTCCATCTGCTCCCTGCAAACGCCAACAGGATTCAAAGCTCTGATTGGCTGTATCTACAGTGAGGTCACCTACAAACCTGAGGAAGGGGTGGATTTGTTGGACATGAGGAACATAACAGAGGATGAGCTTGATCAAGTCCTGACGGAGCAGTTTAATGTAAAGCTGCAGAACAAACTAAAACCTGTGTGCAACAAAACATTTTACACCCTTTGAAAACCTTCCAAAAGTGTTTGGAAACCATTAGCCCAGTAGTTTTACGTAGCACTATTATATATATATGTTAGTTGAAAGAAGTTTAAATGTGCTTTATAGATGTAGTATATTGACTTACCATACCTAACTCCACTTTGAAGAAATGCAAAACTACTGATATTAATGAAAGGTCAACTTTTATACCAATAAAATACGAAGAGTAATTGTTAAAAGTAATCAAATCTTTCATATTCTTAAAAGTTAAACTTTTAAAATTCAAAGTGCAATTATTTCTAACAAATTTATTGTGATGTACTAACTAATTTTTCAGATTTATTCCTTTCTTTGTTGTAAACTGGACTAACATTTTAAGTATGCAATGCTCCCTGAGAGTTTAGGATTTTCATGCTCAGATTTTGAGTCCTGTTCAGTTTGCATATTTCACATTTTGAGACTACTGTAACCTGTACACTGCTGATTATGCCAGAAAGAGTTCTATTGTGAGCTTGCACTTATAGCTCTGTGTAACAAGTGATAGCCCAACTCCTCCTGACTATCCAAATGGAAAGTTCAGTCTTTTTTTGGACACACACTGTCAATATTTAATCTAGAACAGTGTTTCTCAACCCTGGTCCTCAGCAACCCCCTTGCTCTGCATGTTTTAGATGTGCCTCTATTCCAGAACAGCTGATTCAAATGATTGCATGACCTTCAAGTACTGCAGAAGCCTGTAAATCACCCAGAGATGCAATTCAGGTCTGTGGCAGAAGGGAAATACCTAAAACATGCAGGACAGGGGGGCGCTGAGGACCAGAGTTGAGAAACACTGATCTAGAATAAGTACTAGAAAGGACAATCTGTACTTAAACTGGGATTTTTACCTCTCTGTTTCCTTTGTATGTACAACTCCTCTTTAAATCATTTTACAATAAAGTTTCATTTCACATGATTAATGTCAGTGAGGTACATTGAAGTAATAAAATTTGTTTTGTAATCACTTTGCAAAACTGGACTGGTGACATGTCCAAGTGGTACCCCGCATCCTGCCTGTTGACTGCTGGAGAAAAGTAATGCCATTGCAGCCATGCAAGGACTAAGTAGAGATGGATGGATGGAGGGATGGATGGATGGATGGATGGATGGATTTTGGCTATCTTGTATTCACGGAGACTCATATAAGCAATCATAAGATTAGATAATTGCTCACATTGTTAAGCTGGACAGTGTTCCTCTTATTTGTGTAGGCCATAATATTGCCTGCTTTAAAAATCACTGTCTTAATATTCATATTTTCTGAGAAACCAATAGAAAATAAATATTTACATCTCTGTGTGTTGAATGTTTAACATAGGAGATTCACTTTTTGCATATGTCATCTATTTTTCAATGCACCTTTGATCAGATTTTATGGTGCAATCAGCTTTCAGGGTAAAGCAGGTCTAAAGTTTGCAGCTTTGGGAAATCTGCAGTTCAAGGTGTGCTACTGTTCTTGTGCACAAGCCGCTTGGTTGCTTATGTACTCTGTCGCTTTGTTAGCCTGACTTAGCAAATGATCAACTAATCCAATCGCTGCCATATGTCATATTTCAGCACCTTACTAGTCAGAAGTTCTTTAGTAGTTCTGACTGCCTGGCTGAGGTAAGGATGAATAATTTTTACTGTATATGTCCATTGTTGAGGGTTGTATTTTGGAAGATGTCTATGTTACATAGTTGCTAACATAAAAAGAAACAAACTATGACCTAAAACAGGATCACTTCCAAGTGAGCGTGCACATTTTCACATTTTTGTAAATTTGACTTAATAAATAACTCTGACATCTTACATTTTGCAGCTAAGATGAATTTGGAGGAGTACTTCCAAAGAATTGGCTTCCATGGCCCTTCTGATAAAATGGATCTCGCAACTTTGAGGTCCATCCACAAGCTGCATGTCATGTCGATCCCTTTTGAAAATCTCAGCGTTCACTGTGGAGAGTGGATCACCATGGACCTGGAGACTATTTTCAATAAGGTGGTGAGGAGCAGTCGTGGAGGCTGGTGCCTTGAGAACAACTTCCTGTTTGGATGGGTGCTGAGAGAAATGGGCTTCAATGCCACAATGTTGGGTGGCAGAGTTTTCAACACTATCACCAATGACTTTCCACCTGGGGAGAATCATCTCATCAACATGGTTGAAATTGATGGGAAGGCTTATATAGCAGACATAAGCTTTGGGGTCTCGTCTCAGATCTGGGAGCCACTGGAGCTCGTCTCTGGAAAGGACCAGCCGCAGGCAGCAGGCGTGTTTCGACTTACCAAAAACGAGGACACCTGGATCCTGGAGAAGACAGGCAGGACTCCGAAGGTTCTCAATCCAGAATTTGCCAAATCCAGCCTGGTGAACAGGAAGCAAACATATCAGATCTTCTGCTTCACCTTGCAGCCTCGAGAGCCAGAACATTTCGCAGAAAAAAACCGCGCACTTCAAACAGATTCAGCCTCTCTGTTCACCAACAAGTCCATCTGCTCTCTGCAAACACCAACAGGGTTCAAAGCTCTGATTGGCTGGACCTACAGTGAGGTCACCTACAAACCTGAGGAAGGGGTGGATTTGCTGGATATGAGAAACATAACTGAGGATGAGGTTGATCAAATCCTGAAGGAGCAGTTTAATGTAAAGACACAGAATAAAATTAAGCCGGCAAACAAAAAGGTGTCCTACACAATCTAGAAGATACCAAATAACCTTTTTCTTTGGCTTTTAAATGACTGCTGTCAGGGTTGACACCTATTAAACACAGCACATAATACAGGAAAGACAAGAGAAAGTTAGATTCTTAATACTCGCGAGGAGAACAGACAGCGATGTGCTTTCAGTTACAAATCTCCAACTGCTCTGAAGCACATTTGCCTGCCCCTCTCTTTTTATTGTCTTTAGGATCCCTAATCACAGAGAGCGCTGTAACTCTAAGGGGAGGGGAAAAGACACTTCATCACACAGTCACAGCGCCAAGATTATAGCTAACTAACCACACAATCTATCTCGCCCTAGCTTATCCAGTTCCTGACCCAGGATCAAGCAGGACAAGTTGTACATCTTCACGGCGATGGTTTTATAGCTATCTAAGAGGTCAAAGCAGGGCGTTCTGTGAAGAGCTGCTGTCACTGCTCTTCTTCAGAGAGGCCCTCTGAGAAACGAAGCCAGAGTGATTAACAATACAGAAACATTCCTTAAAACATATGACTAAACTAAATAAGTAAGTATACATAAACTAAGAACATAATAAAGATATACCAAATAGTTGATAATAATACAATTTACCTAACAACTGCATTGAATGTGTTTATTACATGACAAAACCAAATATCACAACTGAATGTACCAAAGTTGAGGCTTATCATGCATTTTTATCAGATGATCTGCCTTTGTTTTTATTCAGAATGTAAAACTATTAAATAACATCAATATATTTGTATTTGTATTTTGTACAAATCTTATATGAAAAACCTGTTCTTTTTTCAAGAATAAAATCCAAACTATTCAACATTTCTTCTTCCTGTATGAATGTGCTCAAGTCACTTTTCTATGGAAATAAAGAACTTTGCAGTTTAAACACCCTTAAATCACAATTATTGCTTAATGATTGTGATTTTATGAATGGGGAAAACAAAGGGACATTATGGAACGTCTAAGATTTAATTCAGCGTGAAACAGCGCCACCTGTTGCCCGTCCCCAATCTGTGACGTTTCAAATCAGGAAAAGACATTACGGTTTGGCCCGCCCTCTTCTGAGCTTTCCATCCAATAGAATTATGGTTGAGGATTTAGCCCATTCTGATTGGTCATTAGGTCAATCCTTCATTTGCGACAGGAAGCAGAGGCACAACCAAACAGCGCATTGCTGTTGTTGGCTTAGGACATGAATTCTTTGGAGCAGGCCGAAGGTAACAAAACCATAAAGTAGTTCATTTTACCCAGATAGAAATCTATTTTAGGGGTCATGTAGATTTTTAAATAAAAATATAAAAGATAAATCAGAGGTTATAATCTAGGGAGTATAGAAACTGGTATAAAGCCTGGCTAGGGTTATTAGCATACTTGCTAGCTTAGCAGGGAGATATTTCTTTTTAGTTGACAACTGTGTAGTTTAACATCTATCCTTTGGAATAACTGAGCGTAATGTCAGACTTTATAACAACATTAACGATTTTACGGTGATTTTCTGTGTTTCCGTATCTTAAATTAGAAATAAAAATGTTCTAAACTGAGCATTTGTATTGATGTGTACATTATATCAAAGTCCCAGTTTATTGACAGCCACTCGGAGCTTGTCACCAGAAAAGCTTTAAGTCTGTCCTACATCTCTGATGTTCACTGTAACTGTATTTGAACGTGTCCCTTATTCCAACAGACCTGAAGGCTTTTGAGAGGAGGCTAACGGAGTATATCTCCTGTTTACAACCTGCAACAGGCAGGTGGAGAAGTAAGTACCTGCTATTGCTGACGTGATACATTATGCATTTTCCAGCATCTTCAGGGTGAAGCATACTGGCACTGTAATGCACAAAGTGGAGTTTCTTCAGTAGCATTTAAAGTTGTAGCGGAAACTCATTGGATGATTGTATGACGGCGCTACTTTGACAAGATAAAGAATACTGGGTGTTTTCATCTTCTAAAATGAGAAATATTTTTAGCGAATTGTGACTGATTTCAGGTTGTCTCAGAAGAGTGGCTATTGTTCTCCAAACTATGTATCTGTATTTCTAAACGTCTATGAACACAAAATATATATCTAAAAAAAAAATCACCATCATGTAAGGCCACATAAGTATTCCTTACATGGAGGCAGCTGTCTCTGGAGCTATAGTGGACAGGAAATAAGGATTTCATAGGTTTTATACAGATAGACAAGTGGCTAGTTAATCAACTTTGTCTCCCAGTGAATATTATTATTAAGTTATACCAATGTAAATTTAAATGAGCTGCACATTCAGACATAGACTGCCACTCTGGGAGTGTTAACGGGTTTTTGTCACCATATTTATTTTCACCCCGTTGCTCTTGTCCTACTAGTAGTACAGCACCCAAATCTACACCGCTGGTTGATGATTTAGCTCTACTTCAGGCAAACATCTAGGCATATTTCCTACAATCTTAACAATAGGACAACATTCCAATTTGCATAATGTGTATGTTGGCAAACATTTCATAATATCTGCATGTTAAAACAAGCCATTTTAGCTTTGGAAAAAACCTTTCAAATTACAAGCTCCTACATGTGTGTGTGTATATATATATCTCCATTCTATATTTAAGAATTTTTATATTGAAGGTAGAGTTATTTATTTTATTACTTGTGTCTTATAACTCCACAAATGCAGGAGGATTCCAATGCTTGGTGTTAGGCAACATACAGTCTTTCAGTAGAGATGCATCAACTTTACTAAATTCCTGAATAGTCACTATAATAAATTGTTTGTAATGTTTTTCTTTTATCTCTCTTTCCAGTGATTTTGATAGTGGTGTCTGTTTGCACAGCCACAGGGGCTTGGAACTGGTTAATAGACCCTGACACTCAAAAGGTTTGTTACCTGAGCAAGTAAGCCAAATTGCATGATGTTTGTTTTATGCAGTTTCGCTGCTGCTTCTCCTCACATTCATATGACACAGATTTGCAATTCTAAAGATTACATATATGATTTTTAAAAAATCTAAATAACTTTAAACCTGATTTCAGCTACATTACAGTGAGTTTCAAGAGAATATTTTCTTTATGGAATTTCAATGTAATCAAAAATTACTCATGAGTTTTGATCAGATGAGAGAAAAAAAAGTAAAACTTTGTCCTATCAAACTTTCCTAACGCTGCTCCTCTCCCTCCTTGTTTTGCAGGTTTCTTTCCTTTCATCACTTTGGAATCATCCCTTCTTCACCATAAGCTGCATCACCCTAATAGCGCTCTTCTTTGCTGGGATACACAAACGAGTCGTGGCACCCTCGATGTATCCTTTTTCTGCTGTGGTAAATATATCGTGGAACAGCTGATTTTGCTTTGAGTTAAACAGAATGTTTTTTGTTGTTTTCTTTTACATTCTTGGTCGTGTATTTTTTCCTTGACGTTTGCGCCTCCAGAATTGCTGCCCGCTGCCGCACAGTTTTAGCAGAATACAACATGTCCTGTGATGATGTAAGATTGTCAATTCCTAGAAAATGTATCTTTCATCTTTCTATGAATTTAACAATATTTTATTGAAATGTCTTGACAGACGGGAAAACTAATTCTCAAACCCCGGCCGAACATTCAGTGACTACCATCTTGGTCGCTCTGTTCATTTAGTTTTCATCAATTGTTGACCTCTCATCGGTCCTTCAAGGAGCCTGACCATCAGCAACAAGGTGCAGCACTGAGGAGGATGTCATCATCATGATGATTTAGAATGAAGAAATGGACAGATGGATGCTTTTTAAAAGTTGGCTGTGATGTTATCATTGAAGCTGCTGATATGCTCACCTGACCCTTGATGTATTTTACGAATCGAGTCTCGATGTGTTTATTTCTGTTTCTAAAGTTGAGCATGTATTTTATCTAAATGTTTCTATTTTTAAATTTATTTACCTAATAAACACTCAAAGTGTGAAAATGTGTTGTTTTTCTGCCTTCTCTCAGATTTTTAAATATAGTTTTTAGCTGTGGTTTGCTGCAATAATCTTTCCTCTCGTTTTTCTTATTCACATTTTTTGAAAGCCTAACTGTCCATGCTCAATCCAATATTTCCTGAAGTGCCTGGGGAAATCCATGCTTGAATGGCCATGGTTTTTGTTAGCTTTAATGAAAAGAAAGAAAGAAAATCGGGAGTGTTCAATTTAGAATCTGCCACTCACAATATGGCGAACGCAATAGCGTACGGAGGAACAATTCTCTTGGTTGCCACAAAGCGTGACCGCTTTCCGTCAACGACCATCACTTTCCGGCTGACTGCGTTGACTCTTCCACATGGTTTCCAGCTAGCCTGGATCTGCGGGGTGCTGGGAGTGTAGTCGCCGACATTTCGGACAGAAACCACAGACAGACATCTTGTCACATGAGCACCTAGAAACAGATCAAAATGGGTAAAAGTAAAACCACGAAGTTTAAGCGGCCGCAGTTCAACTCTATCGGCCTGCCGGTGAACGCTGTGAAGGAAGCGGACGAAGAGCACGACGAAGAAAGCTGTCCGGCTGCGGAGCTGCTGGAAAAAGTAGGACCACGATCACATCGGAGGTTTAAAGTTATAACTATGAAACGCAGTGATCTGAGGGATCTGTGTTATGTGAATTATTGATGAAGCAAGTGATTGGCAGTGTTAGGTTATTTGTCCACGGTCACATGTCAGGCTGGGGTTATGTCCCTTTAACCAGGTGTCAGTATGCGCCCTGTACAGAAAATAAATATACAACATACAAAATCTTACTACTAATTCTAAAATATAATTGCTATATTGGTTTATCACTTAAGTAGAAGTACACCTTTGCATATGTATTATTTGTGTGTTTTGTCTTATATAAGGCACTTTGTGTTGCCCTTATATGCAGTATAGAGCAATGTACAATAGAGAATTAGGACCAATTAATCTGACTTTTTTCTCTCTAAGATAATAATTCAAAATCATGTACCTAATTCTTTTACATGATATGGATATCATCATCTTTGTATTGAATGAAATTAATTTCTTATCTGCAAAGGGAATGTTTTCAGTGTTGATTAAATCAGCAAAACAGAAGCATGTTTTGCAAAAATTACTTTTATTTATTTATTTATAGACTGACAGAAATCTTCATTTTCAACAGCAATTACTTTTGTGTGTGTTTTAAAATCGACTTATAATTAACACAAAATACAAAATTCCCTGCGAGCATAATTTCAATGATCTCATGTGAAATAGTTGATGAGTATGGAGGGAGCTGATGTCACTCTGTCATTTTGATTAAATTCTGTTTTGAAAGGGGAAACACTTTCTGTCATTATTACTTTGCATCAAAAAAATCCCTCACATACCAGAATAAAATGTTAATATTTATCAAGTCATTGAGACCATGGTCCAGCTGTCATGATGATAAAAATCTCCAGGGCATTCAAGAGAGACTAGCAAGTGCTATGACTGTCTTCTCAGTCAGTGACTGCTGCTGAGAAATTGCAGTAAGCAGATGTGAGGGTTTCTGCTTATAAAAAAACAATAATCTGTGGGAAGGGCGGAAAAAAAACAAACACATAAAAGATCTAATATGATTGTATCTTTTCATGCCAGCAGTTAAACTTGGTCAACCATGTGTGGTTGATCTTGCGTAAAAGCACAGCAGCGAACAAAGGATGATTTAAAAATGTTTTTAAAAGGCAACTCCAACCATCCAGGAGCAACTTGGTGATTGTCTGTTTGTTTTTAAGCATGATGGAGCATGAAATTGATAAAAATATTTATGTGTTGGGTCTATAGCTCAGAAACTCCCAATACCTTAAGCTACCTAAATCTACAGCTATTGATGTGTTTTTTATGAGCTTGATGTAAGCTTGTGGATTCTTTCCTATTAAGCCAATATATATGTCAATATACAATGAAAACATTTGGTGGAAAATATTTTAATGCTGAAGGAGTAAAGTTTAAAAAAAAAAAAAAAGTTAAAATCTTTCTATCAATCTCCAAACATTTTGCCTCGACTTTGCTTTTGGAAACGGAAAGGAAATCTTCAAATAAACTTCAGAAGATAAGCTAATCTATGGTGAATCTGGAAAAAAAAAAAGATTGTAACCTCGATTTAATAGCAAGTTGTGTTTTTATTTCCAGTTGCAGAGTCCCAGTGCAGACATTCGAGAGTTTGCATGTGCCAGCATTTCTCGGGTGGTGCAGCAGAGCCAGGCAATTCCCGGTTTCCTCCAGAGGGATGCAGTCAGACGGCTGGGCCCCATGCTGCTGGACGGCAGCGTGGCCGTCAGGGAGACGGCCACTGGGGCGCTCAGGTGAGGGTGCAGCGGGATCTGGGCTTTTCTTCGCTTGTCTTTCGTAATGCCGCTTAATTTTCTTTGGATAATGTTGGGCACATTACACAATCCATTCATTCTCTTAAAAACAATCTTTCCTTAAGTTGTTTTTATTCAACATTGAACTATAAATAACTCTTGGATTTAGCTAAGAAATATATGTCAGACGTGGCAACAAAACAAAAGTAAAAAAAGCTGAAGAATAATCAAGTTCTAATAATAATGGCATACTTCTGTTTCAAAAAGGCTTTGTGCTAAAAATAGAAAAGGGGGCCCTTCTGGATTTTCTAGTTTCATCACTGGTTTACTGTAAATGAACTTAATCAATTTTGTTTTTCAAAATAAACGTGTACTTATGTGTTGTGCCGGGGGAACTATGCTGTGCAAAAGGCAAATAGTAAGTTGTTGGGAGGATATGCTCCACATTATTCAGGATTGGATTGTTTAATGTTCAGAGATCTTCACCTTTTCTTTTCATTATGTTTTCACATGAAACAGAACACATTTTTTCCCTCAGCACTTCTTTCGGTATAATAGCTGTGCTCTTCTGTCAGAGGTTTTGTGCAACAGATCAGCAACTCTGCAATTTTTAAAACATTTTTTTCCTAGCTTTGTTACTCACACAGGATCTCCTCTGAGTTACCGATGAGTGTGTGTCTGCCTCACAGAAATCTGAGTGCATGCGGAGGTCAGGAGGTGTGCGAAGACATGGTGAGGCACGACGTCATGACGCCGCTGACAGCACTGCTTCGAGAGGTGAGACTTCACTGCTGCTTTTAGCTCACTGCGTCTTCTTAGCTCCTCGTCGTCTGTAGACTGTAACATCTGCAGGACCTGAATTTCATTCAAGCACACAGGCAGTAATATATTTTTTTTACACGGTTCAAACAGGTGCTTTCCAAAGTTTGGAAAGTTCTTGATTTCTGTGTTAAGTCCTGGGAAGTGCTTGATATTTTAATTGAACATTTGACTAAAAGCCTAGACGTGGAAACAGTTGAAACTAGGCATTTTCACGCACATATACACACACACTCATTTTCTTTCTCACTGTCTAACATGAAATCAGACTAAATGTCTCTTGTTTTAGGTTAGTTGGAATCACCAGAATTATTTTTATGTCCTAAATGACAGAAAACGTAGCAAGAATATTTTTGTATATTGTGTATAAGCATTTAAATTTTGACACATTTACCGTAACATGATTTGTTTGGATTGTTTCAATGTAAGGAATATTTATTATTCCTAATGGCTTAGTGACTTATTGGTCAGTGTAATTGATATATGTATGTTATACATCGTGTATAATAACAAGACATTATTAAAAAGAGTGAATGATATCACGTTTTGGTGAATTTAAGCTGCCTTTTAGTTCGTTTGTATCGTTTTTATCTCCAAAAATGTCGAGTGCTGGAAAAGTTTAAAAACCTATCTTAAAATACTTGAAAAGTGCTTGACTTTTACTGTGGGAAAAGTATACAAACCCTGTTTTTTTTTTTAAGGCTGTATTCACAGAGGTATAAACAAAAAAGCTGACTTATTATAAATTTATTATGTGTTGTCGACATTTTGCGCCAAAGTCAGTACTTTATTTAAGTGATAAATACAGTGAATGTATCTGCTGCTTCCGTGGTCAGACTGTTGTTTCCTTTCCAGTGTTGTACTGGTTTCGACACTGCTGCTGTTGCAATGAAAGACCAGAGCAATCCTGTGGAGGGAGTGGCCAACGAAGCTGTAAACCTACTGTGGAATCTATGGTAAGCCAACAAGTTGGTATGTAGGGTTTTTGTTGATTTATTTCCTCCTCTAGAGATGCTGTTGTGGCTTTGTTACTCTACTGCAACACAGATCTTTCTCCGTTCTTAAAATCAGAATAAGTCAAGAGATAAATATTTAGCTATTTCTATTTGGTGTTCTTTTGAATCATTCCACTGTCAGGAGTATTTAGAACAAAATCAAGTTCTGTTAATTGTGTGACTGTGGCCACCCTGCAGCCGTACACCTGCTACATCTTCAATTCTTCAGCTGATTGTGTCGTCCATCTGTCTAGTGAGAGCAGCAGCCAGGCAGTGTCTTTGTTCAACAAATCCGGCCTCTTGGACATGGTTGTCCAGTGCTTGGAGAGATACCCTCACAATGTGGAGCTGTCCATATCAGCTGGTAGGTCTGACAGGAGTTCCTTTTAAGTTCTTCATTTAAAGTTTCTGATAGGCATAATTTTTTTAATTTAACCAGGTAAGTCGATTGAGAACAAATTCTCATTTTCAACAACAAACATTAAAACATCATACAACAGCGTATCATTTACTCCTTCCCATTTATTCTTGCTGGGTTAGAGAACGTGAGTTTTCACTGGCTGTATGTAGCATAAAGTAAGTCAGCATTGCCCTATCCCCACCTGTTGCTGCGCACCACATGTCAGCTGGCTGAAAGAAGGTTATTACATTTTTCCCCAAACTAATAGAAAATACATTTAGCTGAAAATTTTTTCTTTTTTCCACTAGCTGTTTTTTTTTCTTCTGAATTTTACAGAATGGAAATAAAATACAAGATTATTAAGCAGCTAAAATCATAAAATTGGTCAAAAATAGGAAGTAAATTTCTCTCCCAAATACCCATCAACTGCTGTCTACAGTTTCCAGCTGTTAAAAAGCTGTTTTTAAAGGATGAGATGCTACAAATTCAGGTAAATAACCGCAAAGTGTTTGACAGTGAGCATGCTTCTGTGCATTTTATTTTATAGGTAGAGTCGATACGTACGCATTTCAGTGGGCTTTTAATGGGTATATTCATCTCAGTTGATTTTAAGGTAATATAAGCTACTCTGCCGTCTCAGCTGGAGGAATCTGACTCTTACTGTTTTTGTTTCTCAGCTCACTGTTTGCACACTGTGACCGAGGACAACCCCGAGCTGCTGCGTAGCATGAACGCCGCTGTACTTGGAGCCCTAGAAAAAGTGCTGCTGTCATCTCAGCCAGGCATGGCGCACATTCTCCTCAGGACTTTAGCTGCAGGTAAAATTCATCTCTTGTCATATTTGTCTCTTTCACTTTTTAAGGTGGCCTGAAAACTGCAGTGTATATTTCCATAGCATCTCCTCTGAGTTCCTGCCTTGTCTCTCAGGTACGCTGTGGAACATGAAGGCCAGCCTGCCTGCGGCCCGACAAGCCCAGACCCTCAACGCCGTGGTGGCCACCCTGTCACAGTGTCTGGATTTGGACGCAGGGGTGTTGATCCCTGAACTTAGACGAGCGGAAGAGGCTAACCACAGAAACACGGCTGCTGTGGCCGAAGCAGAACAGGCGGAGGCAGCGGCGGAGCCCGCTGAGGAGGAGATGGACGAGGAGGACGCACCCATGAAGAAGAAGAATGGCAAAACTACGAAGGTTGACACTGACTTTTCCGACCTGCTGCCTGTAAGTAGACACACTGGTTGTTACAGAAAACACCTTTTTCACATTTTGTTATATATATATTTTTTTCATGATAAAACCAGGAAACTGTCATTGTTACTCGCCTAATTAAAAACCTCACAGTGAAACATAGTGGTGGCAGCATCATGCTTAGGAGGTTCTTTGCAATCCTGGAAGAAAATCACGCTGGAAAAGGCTTACATCCAGCCAGAGCTACAATGAAATGGTTCAGATCAAAACATGTTCATGTTACAACGGCCTAATCAAAGGACAGACCGTAAACCTCATTCAGTCCGAGTTGTTTTGCAAAAGAAGAATGGGCAAAATATTCACTCTCTGTGTGAAACTGACCAAAGAACTGATTGAGATATGACTCAGAAAATTTAAAATTAAAGGTAACGTTTCGATCCGGGGAGTGAACAGTATGCTGTCTTATTTTTGAAACAATTAGGCTAATGCTAGCTTTAATGCTATCAATATTATCCAGGCTCACAGTAGCATTCTGGCTAACATTAGCTCAATTCATTCAGTAAGTCAACTTAAGCTTTTAAGTCAAAATGAGTTAGCTACTAAGCTAATGTTAGCTTAAATGCTCATTTTAGTTCCGCTTCTAACAACAGACAATTGGCTACCTAATTTTCTACAATCTCAATAATATACATTAAAGTTTGTAGTTGTAATATGACAAAATGTGAAGAAGTTAAAAGGGTGTAAATACTTTTGCAATTAAACAGCTTCAACAACAATAAAACATGGAATCAGAACGACTCAAGCTGAATGTCTGTTATCTTCTCACAGTTTATTTTGCGATCATCCATCAGAGTTTAAGTAGGTCAGTGCACAGCTGGTTATTTTCCCCTGAATCCATCAGCACCACTTCTGACAGATCTTTCAAACTGTTGTTCACCTCGTATCCTCAGGTGGAGTCAAATAAGTTAACTCATGTTTTCACACTGCTTTGTCCACATCCACCTTTGTGATGTTGAAGCATTCACAAAGGCTGTTTGTTAACAGCATTCATAAATTAAGGTGGTGGTATCTGTTTGCAGGTTTACTGAGACAAGGGTCACACAGGGGCTTTGAGTCTTTGAAAGTGCTTGATATTTAAACAGGATAGTTTTGTGCACTCTAATGTTGATTAAAAGCCTAAGTTTAGAACATGTTATATATTTTCATACACCTAATAAAGACATACACAGTTTTTCTCACTGTCTGAAGTTAAATCTGACTAAACTTTTACTGTTTTAGTTCAGTTAAATTCAAAAAATGATTTATGTTTGCTAAATGCCAGAAAACGTAGCCAGAACATTTTTTAGAGTTTTTTTTTTGCTTTTCATCATTTAACATGAGCAGGAAAGTCATTAAGAACTGGATCCACTTGTATGGAAAAACCCTCACAGTGATTCTCAGAGGTCTCGTAGGTGGCCTGTACCTTAGACGCCGAGATGTGATGCTGTTCATGGGAAATATGCGGTCTCCTTTTGGACTTTAGAGCTACCCACCAATGACAGGTTGAAAGGCAACACACGAGTCATCCGAAAGTGCAACACCAGGCCGACAGTGCAGACAAACTGTGGAGTAGACGCATCGCGGGTCATTTGGGGGCTGCTGACTGGCTGGCTCAACCCCGGCGAGACAGATCTGTCCCTCACGGCTCGGTCATGAGCAGAACCCCAAGATCATGTTGACGTTCCACAATCCCCCCACTAAAATATAAAACTAGCACTATTCAGTCATAATAACACATTCATCGTGGCCCTAAATATATCAGCGTAGCTTAAGCCAAGTTTGTCCATCAGCTACTTTCTATGCAGACTGTCACCACGACCCAGCTCAGAAATGTGCAACCTGACGTGTTCGAGTGCATCAGCAGGAATAAATCGCTCCTCCGTAGCAAGCGGCTGCAGCCAGACTGGGCGATAGCAGCGCTAGCAGTCATGGTTGTATCGGGATGTTGACTCACACGGCTGTTTGTTTGTGTCCAGAGGGGTAAGGAGGAGCTGAGGGAGGCAACGGCCTTGCTGACAGCCCAGCAAACGTCCTTGGAGATCATTGTCAACATGTGCTGCTCTGACGGTGAGTGTTGAGGGCACGGACAGCAGTGCTGACCCCAGGCACTTTCATCTAAAATTTATTTCCTGTGACACGGGCACCAAGTGTGGGTTTGTCATTCTGAGCGGCTGTTAGACCAGTAAACGTATTGCCAGGGTGATTTAAGGACATTAAAACATTCTTTATTGCTCTCCTTTTCTACTGTTTAGACCCTTCTGATGACGAGTGGGAGGAGGAGTCGAGCAGCGATGAAAGTGACTTGGGTCCTGACGGGCTCTGCGACGGACTGTCCAGTCTGATGTCTCCACTGTGCTTGTCAGCTGAGGTTCAAGGGGCCTTGATCAACCATGGCATACCAGAAAAGGCAAACAGCTCTCCGCTTCCTCAATCACACCTCACTTCTGTCACTACATGCACAAAAAGAATTCATTACAGAGTCAGAGAGTGTTGACAAGTGCCTAAAGTGGGTTAAGCTGTCATCTTTGCAGCTGTTGTTGCAAGCCTAAACGGAACAGCTCTGCAGAGGTGTAAATGCCTTTTGGATATTTTCAGTGGATTTTATTAAGGAGTGCCTAATGTTAAAGAGGAAGAAAATGGGACATAGATTTATTTATTTATTTATTTTTAAAACATAACACCTGAAAAGTATGGCATGTTGCAGACTAAAAGTCACAGTTCCTTTTATAGGTTGCTCCCTCTTCATGACCCGTTTTGTGACTGATGTGTTAAATATTAATTCAAACTGATACACATGAACCAGTGATTAAACATTACCATCTGCAGACATGAGGATAGCTAACCACAGTCTGAAAACTAGCTGCCGGTGTTGTGACGATCTGTGCTACCCCGTCAAATTTTCTTTTTGTAGCATGTCTAGATAGCTGTGTTTAGACAATTATAACACCTGTTGAGACTTGTGAACAGTGCAGCTTGGTCTTGCAGAACAGCGCAAACTTGGATTGGATGGAAAACGTCTGTGAAAAGCAATTTTTCACTTCTCACTGGAGATGCTCAATTGGATTCTGATTTTGATTTGACTAGACCATTCTAGCACATAAATGTGCTTTGTTCTACACTATGCCATTGTAGTTCTGACTGTGTCCAGGATGAGCCTTTGTCCTGTCTGAGGTCTGTTTCAATTTCCAACAGGCTTTCTTCAGCACTGGACTTGGGCACCACTGTATTAAATTTCATGTACATGCATCAAAGTAATACAAATGCAACATTTTTATTCTAGATTAAAAACATCTTAATGTGATTGTCATGTGTCATTTTCCATTTTTTATGTTGTGTTTTTCTGACACGTGTAACAACATACGTTTGTGGTTGCACTGTGCGGTTAAGTTCAGTAGTTACTTGATGAATATTGTGGAAGGAACTGTTTGTTTGTCATTATACCCCCACTTTGCAGTACTTTGATTGCACTGTAATATGTTTTCTTTTCTCTGGATTCAAGGTTCTCAACAAAACATCCTTCCCCAGAGAGGAAGCCACTAATGTGTGCCAAGAGAATCCATCCTGGAGGAGCCTGAGCAGGCGGTACTCACCTTCATCGACTCAAAATTGGTTGCAGCTTTTAACTTTTAACCATATAAACTTTTTTTTCGCCTCCTCTTTGTGTAGGATGCAGCGGGTTCAGTCCCGAGCGCTGACTTGCCTCCACAGCATCCTCTCCACCATGGATGCAGAGTCTCTGGGCGGTGAGGCAGCCCTGCAGGGAGCAGCACAGCACCTGTCCTCATTGGTCTTTGGTGCTGAAGGTCTCGGATTTTTGTTGATATTTTTGCAATTTAGCACTTTTGATACTTTACCAGTTTAGTGTTCACACGCATGTGTGAAAGCAACGAGCAGAGCTGACATTTAAACTTTCTTCTGTTGCAGAAATCCCCAAAGATGAGGAGTTCCTTGAGGCCGTCATCAGCGCCATGCGCTCTCTCCTGCAGATAATTGCCTCCAAAAACATCAGCCAGGTACAAAATACAGTAATTAGGAAAATACGTTTAAGATTTCATCCTTTCTTAGCTGCATATTGTAGCATTGCTTTTCAAAACATGTAACTGTCTAGCAGTGTATTTTTTTTCACAGCGGAGTTTTATAAATGAGAAAGTTTTAGAAAGCGTACTATGGAAAATGACCTGCTGGTTCTGCTTAGCATATATTTAAGTTAATGACATCGCAAAGGTGCAAGAATAATGTTTAAGTTTTTTGTTTTTTTTATCTGTGTAGCATTCTAAAAGTTTTTCTCTTGCAGCTTTACACAATAAAAATAAGCACCTTTTCAAAGAAGTATTCTGATTTAAAAACAGGAATTTTGAATCATCTTTTCTTTTTTTTCTTAATGGACAAATCGCAAAGCAAAGACAAACTGAGCATGTGTGTCGCTCTGTAGGTTACAAACTACATTTAGTGATTCTGACTAGAAGCTTTAGCCCAACACTATTTCCAACAACCCTCTGACTGCATGGCTGCTTTTTTTTGTTGGTTTGTGTTTGTTCAGTGCATGACCCCCCAGCAGCTGATGAGTCTGAGCGAGGCGGCCACCCGCTGCGATGTTGTCAGCGTGAGGGTTAACGCCGTCGCCATCCTAGGAATCACTGGAAGCACATTAGCCAAAGAAAAGGGCACGGTGGAAACCCTTCAGGTATCACTTCTTCCATTTTTATTTTGTTTGTGCCCAAATGTTTGCTCCTGCCCTGGGAACCTTTGCTCCTGCAGATGATTGGAAACGCCTTGCTTCAAGTCGCTACGAGGGACTCCGACCTGGTTGTGAACGGAGAAGCGCTCGACGCTTTGTTTGACGTGTTCGCTGATGGAGAGGAGGCAGAAATGGCGGCTAAAAACCTCAACTTACTGCCTGCACTTAAGGCACTTCAGCCTGTCTTCAAGGCAAAGGTTGTAGAGATGAACTAACATTTAGTTTAGGCACTTTTTGTAATTAGGTCATTCCAAAAGATATTTTCCAGTCAAATTTATTTCAGGTTCTCATCTCTCCAATACATTCAGATACTTATCCATCTTTCCTTCTCGTAATAGATCCGTAAAGAAGGCCGTGGTAAATACAGCCCTCAGCAGCTGTGCGTGTTGGACAACATCAAAATCAACCTGAGAAGATTTATTGGTTATCTGGAAAAGGGGGTGAAGAAATAAGGACTTTGTGTTCTTCACACTGTGATCAGTTGTTGAGACGTGATGAGATGGTGCAGTTGACAAACCGTCACTTATTTATGTATTTTTAAAAATAATTACTGTTTACAGTTGTTTTGAGTTATGTGAATATTTTTTGTGAAAAGGAAGAGGTGGTGGCATTTTGTCTGTGAAGAGTCACCAACACGGTTTAAAAGATTTCAGCAGATTTTGATGGCATGTTAGCAACATTTTTAAAAGATAACGGTGAAAAAAAGCAGACTGCAGTTTTTCTTTCATTTGTACCCATTAACTTTATCCTAACTAGTAGGAGGAGACCTATTTAGGGAAAAATGCAGTCATGTTGCTAGGACACGACAGACTGCTGTTATTTTACAGCAGAATGGTCCATTTTAGTTTTAGAAAATAAACTGCTTTTCTTAAATTAATCACATCACGGGACTATTTTGTATCCATTGTGAAGACTTTTGGAAATCACTCTTTGAAAGCCACTTTTATAGATTCATATTTTTAAGTTAAATTGCTGCACAAGTTTTCAAGCTTATAGAGAAACTAGAGCTAATGGTGCCCTGACTAATAGGGAGAAAATTAACTCCATATTATAGGGGATGGCTAAAGTATTCACGCCCTGTTACCTGACCAAGCAGAACAAAAGGAGACTCACAGCATGATGCTGCCACCACCATAAAGAGATGCAGAGTGCATCTTTTATTTGCTTAACAAGAATAAGGAAGAAATCCATGGATGCGTATCCATCTCATAATTATGTCCTATTTTGTGATTGTTGCATAAAATTCTACTAAAATATTATATTTGTTGTTGTAACATGTCAAAATTCAATAGAGGTAAATACTTTTGTAAGGTTAAGTGTGCAAAGGTACAAGGAAATCTTGAAATTAAAAATTCAAACCTTTTTCAGACTTCTACAATGTGAAATTCTGAATTTACTTTCACAAATTAGCTAGTTTTTAATAAGCTAACTTATTAAAAGCTGTGTTGTAAATAATTCTTCAATCTGAAACTTTCTGGGAAAAAAATAGACTTGACTGACAAGAATAGTATTTCGTTCAGCAGTGAATGGAAAAGGTGTTAAAAATATTTCTGGGTGTATCAGAAATGTGGCAAAACTTTTATACTACATAGTTTCATTAAAATCTGATTAATCTAATAAAGTGAAAAGAAATTCAACTAATCTCTTCATTTTTCTGGAACATGGTATATTATGGGGTAAAAAATATTTAACTTCTCAAAAGTAAATGCATAAAGTTCTGAACCATGATGTAGACATGAACTTACTTGAAGTTGTCTTGCTGTAACGGTTTAAAATAAAAATACATTTGGTGTAAGGTGAGATTTCCCCGTTGGAAAAATCAGTTGACTTTTTATTTTTATTTTTTTTTATCACTTGATTAGTTTATGGTAAACTTCTGGGTCATGAGAGAACCATTTAGAATAGTTTAAAAAAAAACTTTCAGCAGAAGTACTGAAAAATTTCACATGAAATCAGAACTTTTGGTGTGGTTTTTGAATATCTTATTTAAAATGGTCAGTGAATAATAACTCTTAAATTGTTCAAATTAACAAGGTACTTGCTCAAAGTCCTGGTTTGCAAAAAATCTGAATTGAAGTGTAATTCTTCTTGATGTTCCATTAGCATTTGTTTTGCAAGTGACTAGAGGCGCTTTCCCACTGCCAGGTCTTGCTCTAACCGGTTAAGCAAGATTTATATATTTTCTAACCAGTACCATTTTCAGGGCAACACAATTACTTTGAATAGTTGAAGTTGAATATATGTGGACCTACTTACAGATAATGAGACTACATTAGATTTAGATTTAGTAAGAAATCATCACACTATTCTAATATAAAAACAGTCAGTGATGGATTCCGGCTAATAAGCTTAAAGGTAGTTTATAAAGGGTTATATTTTCTTGTTGTTTGATACTTAAGTGGCAATGACCTATGACCCTGACTCTGCTTGTTGAATTACAAAACTGGAGGAATTAACTTGCCACAGTAAATAAAAAATATCAATAATAAATAGGTGGCTTAATAGTATAATTACAAACTGGAGCAGATAAGATGTATTTTACTGATTTGAGAATTGGGAAATTATAGGACAACAGCAGCATTGTTGTCCTATAACAAAACAATAGAAAACTGTTGTTTTTCTATTTTTATTTTTAATTAATTTATAGAACAACAAAAAGTTTTCAAATTGAGCTTAAAAAGTGAACCACATGCAGATTCATTGCTGATATAGTGAGCTAATTTGGGTTTTTATTTCTCTAAATTTGAGTGATTGTTTTACAGCCAATGAAACCTCACATTCATTTTCTCATAAGATTATAATTATATAATAAAGTATTTTTAATACAGACATACAGCATGTTTGATGAATGAAAAGACTGCTGACTTAACAGTTGTTGAGCATTAAGTCGTTGACACTTTCGACAGTACAGCTATAACAAAAAAGGTCATCGCTAAAGAAGCTAACTCAGTGTTGTGTCCAAGCATATTAATGGGAAATTAAGCGGATGGAAAAACTGCATTAGAGGCCAATGACCTGAAAAAATGAAGAGGTGTGGAATCTATGGTGCTTGAAGTCTAGTGTAAAGTGACTCTACAGTCAATAATTTTGGGAACGACGTCATCAGCTGTTTGTCCAAGAGCCTGAATAGAATCTATGAGGGATTATGAAAAGGGAGATCACCGAATGGCTAGCTTGCTTAGTTATGACATTTTCCACATTACCTTCCCTGTGAAGAATGTCAATGACCATCTGCAGGTGTAGTCTGCATGGTGTATTAAACAACTTAATAGGTTTTACGTAATATTAAACGGAATTATGGGTTTTACTTTTTTCAGTACCTTGAAAAAACGTCTTCCACGATATTATATTGTTTTTAATCAATTGTTGAGAGCATATAAATCGTATTCCTGCCTCAATTTTATTTTTAAGCGTAAAAAAATAATGTCAGATTTAAATGAACAGGTATATGAATTAAAAATTGATTTTCCGTATCAAAAAACGGGCTGAACAACGGGTCCCCGTTGTTCAGCCAGAACAACGGGGACCCGCTAACAACCTGTGGATGCAGATTTTCTTTCTATGATTTACATAGAAAGAAAAATATGAAATCTGAATTTGTTATGTAATAAATATATATTTAAAAAACCGTAAACTGTTTGTTGCGTAATAGGTGTATCCCCGCCCCTATTCACTTGCTCGGCGCAGCCGCAGTAGCGGTGTGGACTCCGCCATCGGGGGAAAGGCACAGAGACTCTTCGACAGGCAGCCCTCGCACGTTTCTAACGTCTTTAACAGCAAGTTGATCTTCAAATACTGTTTTTATCACCTGACTCGGTCTCTCGTTTTAGTTACTGCGGACGAATTAGTTCGACCGCTCGGTGTATAGCATTATTACCCAAGCGCGTAGTTTTTTTTAACCATAATCTAGAAGTAACGGTCAGTGGAGAACCTGAGCAGGCTAGCTAACGTTAGCTAGCGACCTGGCTAGCTGCACACGAGCTGAGCGCTGCTCAGTGGTGGGGTGGGGTGGGGGGGCGGTTTGCCTACAGTGGCGTTTGATGGATCCTAGAATCGCCTGGTTTCAGCCAGAACAACGGGGACCCGCTAACAACCTGTGGATGCAGATTTGGGAGACGACGCAGGGGCTCGGGTATTTGCACGTCAATAGCAGCTACTCTACGGGATCTCAGAGCACTCCGAGCCTGAAACCAATCGTCAACAACGGGGCGTCGGGAGCCGTCCTCACTTGCAGAAACGGGACGCTCGACTCGCACAACGGTGGTGGAGACGTCAAGACTCAGGGGATGTCTACCTCAGCTGGGGTTGGAGAAATGACGGAACAGCGGGACTTTATACCACTGGACACCAACAGCAACCACAACAACCGAGCCGCGGGCAGGGGCGGTGTCGGTGGAGGGGGGCAGCAGGGCAGTGGGGTTGCTGTGCTTTGGAGGGGACTCACGGACGGACACCCCAACAAAAGAAAGAGAGACAATAAAGCTAGCACTTTCGGATTCAATTCCAGTCTCTTGAACGATGGTTGCGGCTCTAACACGGAAAGATATGAAGGTTACACGGGCACGCCTTGGAAAGTCAGGAACTACTCTGAAGGAGTTGTGGGGTAAGAGTGAGTCTGTTGAAGTTTAATTTGGCTGCGTTGCAGGTGATCACCTGCTGCTAAAAGTGAAACTCTACTAATCGGTTTTCATTGTGTTTAGCTTAGTGCTGGAGCATAAACTAGTATGTTTACAATTAAAGGACAAGGGGAGAGGCTGCTCGTCTCACCCCACCCACTGGCTTACTTCCACTTAATAGAATAGGTCAACTGTAGTTTATTTAGCTGGTGAAAAAGTGACTTCTGTTGAAGTTTAAATAGGAGACCTCTATATGTCTTCAGCTGCACTTACTATGAGAGATATTGAAATTCACTCCTTAAAAGGGAAATCCCACATACAGAAGTTGAGTTAGTGACTTGTTGAGGCAGCTGTTAGAAATAATGCTGGCTTTCAACTAAGTTATATTTCTTGCTTCTCATAAATGGAGTATTTCAGGTAAGTTGAGAAACAGCACTTCTCCAAATTTAAAGAAGCCACATATAAAATTAAACCTTTAAAGATATTGCATGGTTGGTACACAAGATACACAAGAATGCAGTGGCATTAGTGAACACTATGGCAAGACAAGTGACTTGATGGATCAAGACATTGATACAAATGCATTTAAGTTGTACTGGGTTCAGACTTGTATGTTTAATCCAAAGTTTGACTCAGACAACCTCAGAGCCATCAGGGACACTACCATGGATGGCAAAGGTTGACAATAACAATAATCATGTTCAAAACGTTGCAGGCACAATTTTGTTTACATACTTTTAGAAAATTTCCATCAAACTTTATTCTGTCTATATTTGACACTGGTCAAATAATTAAATATCGTTGGCATTCCAGTCGCATCACCTTCAGTAGTTGCACGATTTTCCAGTTCAGTGGTATTGCCACTTTTCTTAGCTTGTAGTGCTATCGCAAACTGCAATTTCTTGCTTTCTTGTCTTGTGTTGGTTAAACTTTTTTCTACATCCATAAATTGACTTTACAGAAAAGTCTGGTTTGTACCTTGAAACATTAGAGAATTTTCTGTTTCTCTAGCCTTTGCAGGCTAACATCTTAGTGTTTATTATGTAAAAAAAAATGGTGTAACATGGCTAACAAGTCGTGTTTATATCTGAGAAAGTCACATTCAAAAGAGCAGAGGATAATTAAAACTTTAAATTGTGATAGTAGGGAAGTATTTTAGAGAAAACTTGAGGTTGGGCTTTAGTTTAACTAGTTACTACCAACGTGAATCGTAGAATCTGCAGTTGTCTATAGTTAAGCTCTCACTGCTTGTTCAATTTTTATTTTTTTTACTTTTTATATATTTTTGTTGATATAGCAACAATATTAGTCATGGGGATAGATGATATATGTGCAACAAACTGTTAGTAACAACTAAATGCAGTTTAACAAATTATTTTTTTAATGAAGTTGTAGAGATGGAGACTTCACTGAAATCATCCTTTGAGGTTATGTCTATTATGCCGATATAGTTCATAGGGGAGTTTGAAAAGACTATAAATAAAATAAAATATGAATGATCAGTCTGATGAGCCAAAATAACGAAAAAGCCAATCTGCAAGGGAAGGCGGGGTTCTTTAGAAAGACTGAAGAATTATTGCTAAGGTAATAATTATTACAGTAATTATTACTGAAGAATAATTACTTTATTACACTGTGAAATGTAATAAAGTGTGTGCTTGTAGGTAAAACAAAGAAATGTGAAATGGCTTTAGGCCTTTCATGTTGAGAGATTGACAGTATTAGAATGCACATTAAGATGAGAAAATGACAGCATAAAAACTCTTAATGCATCACAGTACACATGTGAGGCTTATAGTAGAACAATGGGAAAATCTTCTCACTTTGGATGAAATTAGTGTAAGAGTGATCTGACATAGATGTCAGTGTACAATGTAAGGAGAACAAGTCACACTTTGAAAATAGGACAAGAAGAAGATGGCTCTGGAAACAGTCTGGCTACAAGATTCCTAACTCTACTAGATATTTGCTTCAGGTGGTCAGGGAGAGCTGTATCCATGGTTGAGGCACCACAGACCACAGAGCTCACAGATAGAGCTCCACTATTTATCACAATGTGCACCATATTAACACACCAAATTACTCATTGAAACTGTTAGTTTATAAACTCCCAAGTGTCACAAGCTTACACTTAGAATGCCAATCGGATATTCAACATGCTGGATGGAGCCTCATTGCGGTGGATGCCCTCATCTGACAGGTCAGAGTGGCCAAGAATCAAGAGCATTGAATGTATCCATTAAAAGAACAGAATGGGAGTAATGGAAGTGTAGACTTCTCATAACTTGTGGCAATGACACGTTTTTAGCAATATCACATTTGCTAAATATCACATTTTCTAACATCTTGCAACCCTATTTTTCTTTTAAACCTAGGGATGGAATGTTTGTCATTTTTTAACATATCCGTATCGGCCCATTAAGTAAAACTGGGCTGATGTTACCAGCTGATATTTATTTCTGTGTTGTAGCTGTTTTGGATGGAGCTGGTCATGTGGTTTTTGTTTGGTTAAGTGATTGGATTGTGATTCAACACAGGATTATGGGGTATATCGGCCACAACGGCAGCATTAAAATCTGATATTGAATCGACCCAAATTTGCATAATACTGCATTTCTATTTAAAACAAAATATTTTTTTCTATATATGCAAATCTAAAAGTTATGCATACAAATATGTATTTTCTATAAACTTAGATTGCTGAAAACTTTCAGGTTTGAGGAACTTTTTTCTGAGAATAGAGAGTGTGTGCTTCTACCTCTCAAACTTACTGCTGCTTCAAAAACATTTTAATAAGGCTGCCCAATCAACTTCTTTATATATTAAATCTTGGATAGTAGTAAAAGCTTATTGCTCCAGATCAAACAAACCTTCAAGGAGCTTTGAAGTGTGGCTTTTAACAAAAGAAATCCTTAATGCAAAGTTGTTGTCTGTGGTTAATAATGTGAAAATTTGATTTATGCTTAATTTTTGTTGCGATGGATCTTTTATAATATACTTTTATTATTCTGGATGACTTTTAGCATAACTTTTTGCTGTGTTTATTATCTTAGTTGTTTATGGTGTTATAACCCATTTCATGGGTGCGGCTCTGAAATAAACATTTTCCTCTCCTCTTCCTGACGGTTAAACATGTGGAGACAAGCAGAACACAAGAGTGTAGAGTTCAGCCTTTTGCTGATCCTCATTTATAGTAATATGGGAGCTTTGTTTGCATGAGGACATTCTTTACTGATAAGCTCTGCTAATACCAGAACCTTAAGCTAACAGCTGGGATCAGGCACCACTGATGGCCTTCAGTACTCAGGCAAGTCATGATGTCAGCACAGTCTGAGACATTGCCACATTATTTAAAAATGAACTAGTGATGACATACAGTATGTATGTGCATGTAAAAACAAACTTTGCTGGGCTACAAGTTATATTTTTTCGGTAATGATATGAAAGAACTTCAACAGTTGGGATGAAAAGTGATAAAACATTTTTAGATGAGTGAAGAAAATAGCTACAAGACAAATGGACAATCTTCCTACTTCAAACGTTACATTTTAGCTACAAGGTGTTAGCAGATGAACCAGAAACCCGGCACTCCAATGTCATCCAGTGGTTTGCCACAAAATGGCACAAGGCATAAATGAAAGTGTCCTGTTTCCAATTATTTTTAGCTCAATCCAAACCTTGTATTTAATACAAAATATAAATATAGCATTTTCCCAAGCAGAACACAAGACTGTGCAATTGAGCTGTTTTGGGTTGGGAGTAAACGCAAATAAAATGAACAAAAATATCGTTTTCTATTTACAAGAACCAAAAAGGGTAACATAGGAGTAAGTTAAAATGCGCTTCAGCAGGACAGTTTGTACTCTATATTTGGCCATGTGGCTTGGCTAGAGAGGCAGAGGCATTAGCTTATTTGTGTTTGACTCTCTGCCAGGCTTTCTGGAACTGGGAAGGTCCAAAAGTAAGCAGCCTGATTCATGATGGCATTGGATCAGTGTTTGCATGCTCCACACAGCTCGACTTCCTCTGAACAAAGCCAACCCTCTCGAGAGACAAACCTTCGCTCGCTCTTCCTCTTCTGACCAATCACATTTGGAGCTTGAAGGGAGGGCTAATTTTCTAGACAAGTGATTGGTGTTTTGTTTAGATTCTTTATATGGACATAGCGAGTCTCTATCCTGAGAGAGCTGTGTCCCCCCCTTTTTTTTTTTCTTGCTGATCCCGGTTTTCTAATTTAGTGTGTTTGATTGTAAAGATAAAACAAAAGATCCCACAGATTCATCCAATTTATAAACTGTTTTAATGAATAATTATAGTTATTTTTAAATTTGCAAACATGCTTGGGATGATACAAGAGAAGGTTACTTCAAATGTAATAAAAAGTGTGGTTAATTGTTCAGCGATGAAATGCCCCAGAGCAGGGTTTTATTGCCTTGTTGTTATTGCTGCTTTTTAGAGATTTACGACACCCAGCATTAACATACAGGCAACACCTCTGCTTGAAGCCGTTTTATTAAAAACATGCTCAACACAGCGGCTGCAGTATTTAACATCTGTTAGACCCTCCTGTGTTTCCTTACTCGCTGTCTGGTGTTCAGACAATGTTGAAACATGATAACTGCGGATCAGTCTGGCCCCTAAAACCAGCGCAGGTGGACCACTGTCCACAATCCTACCTTCAAGTGTGTAGTGAAGAATGTGTCTTCCTGTCCAGAGGAAAGTTATTCTGTAAACCAGACTTTTGTCACTCTGCAAAACATCTTTTTTAAAAACTGGGTTGTTGTAAGGAGCTACCAGTGCTTTATACTGTTTCTGCTCATCAAAACGGGTCCAAGGAGGAACAAACAGCATGTGAATCATTGACCAGAATTTGATGCCCATGATTCAGTATTTTCTGCCAATTGGTAGCAATTGTTTAGTTCTGTTTATGTCAGTGTGAAGACATTCTCTACGACAAATTGATTGCTTTCTTTTCATATTTGTAGTATATTCAACATAAAGACATGTTTAAAAACGCTGCAAACTTTATGAAGCTGTTCTGCTTGGCACTTTATTGTTTTGATTTGGCTTTTGAGGCAGCACAACATCAGGAAAATATGAGTGTGATTTTTATTGTGGAATATTGCAGTAACCATAAGTTACTATTAACCCAGATTATCCGCAGTCTTATGAGTTTTCTTTGAGCTCTCACCACAACTTTCATAATGTAAAAAAATCCTCTAACTTGCCAAAAATATTCTAGGCAGGCAGTAGTGCTGAAACGATTAATCGGATTAATCGCCATGAATGGATTATTGAAATCAATTAATCATTAATTTGAGTATACAAACCTGTGCCTTTTGCTGAAAGAATAACATATTAATAGCAGTGATTAAGGCAAAACCTTACAAAAATTTTACATTTTGCATCTAGGATAAATTCAGAACTCCTCAAGTGGCATAGTTTTAGCTTCACCCAGTTCAAATTCTATAAATTATTTTTGATTTAAACACCTTTTGCTATCCAATCAGTAATAGCTTAATCCAAAAATAATCAAAAGCCCTTAACTATATTGATAAGTAGAAAGGGCTGAGCTTTTCACATGCTGTTAGAAGTATTTTTTTTGCCTGCATCCTTTGCTATAAATGATCAAGCATACACTAAAGAAATGCTCTGTTATTGTATTTTAATTTAAAAAATTTAATTAAATTATTTGCATTTTTGTATGCATTTCCAATTTTGAATAAAATAACCTTAAGGGGTTAAATGGAAAATAATGAATAGACTAATTGATGGCTAAAATAATCGTTAGTTGTAGCTCTAGCAGGCAGGGATCAAATGCATGGCACCTGAAATATTGGAGTATTCCAAATATTGCACCCAAGAAGCCATTTATTGTAATTATTGATATAACACTGACTATTCACTGCTCTGTAGGTGCAATATTTTTAGGTTGCTACATCTGAAATAAAGCCAAAAGGCGCATTCTTCCATTTTCTTTGTTTCACGGTTTCTGTGAGGTATTAAAAAGTCATAAAACACTTTAATGTAGAATCATCTCATTTTCTAGCCTTAAAATGTCCTAAATCTGTCCAGATCTTTCCTGTCTTTATTATTGTTTCTGCTCAGGAAATTACAATCAAAATATTCTTGTTCCCTTATCTACTTCCAGTACTTAAGGAGGCTGTATATTTAACAAGGCTGGGCTTGGCAAAACATTTCCCAGTTTGGCTCTAAAAGCAGAACTGAAAAAGTTGCCATCAGTGTTGTTTGACTGTGGAGCTTCTGAGCCTCAATTGGTAACATGGGCGACTTCAGTTAGAAGATTACCGGGTCATTCCTGACCCTCTGTGTGGATTTATCTTTCAGGAAGATGCTGAAACCGTTTCAGCTTCATGTGAAATGTTTTGCTAGTGCTTTTCTGTCAGTCTGTTATTTGTTGTCTCATTTCAAGTCTAAGATTAGCCTGCTGCACCACTCACAACACAACCACCTCTGTCACCTACATTCATCAGCATGTGTTCTTTTGTGTAACCAGAGCTGTTTGGCTCTTTGATCCAACAGTTGGCATCCCTGATCGTTGATTGATAAAAAATTAATGGGTGTGTCATCTGTACGGTACAGACACCTCTGCTTTTGTTTGGGGTTGTCCTCATTTTGTGAACCAGTATTTAATGCATGGCAACCCTGGCAGTTCAAAGCTGCTGTTGTGTGTTGGAGGTTCAATAGGTACAGCAGTGTCACATAACAGCTTTGTTGCAGAGTTTGGCAGTGCCTAAAAATGTAAGCCTTTGTGAAAATAGGGTCATGATGTCAGTACACTTTCTAGCCGCGAACACCTAATTTTTAATGCTAGTTTGAGTAAATTGCGACTTGGGTAACTACAGCTAGACCAGTCATATTTATGAGGCGTTTCTTTGTAGATAAGTATTACTTCTTAGAGTATATAATGCATTATAAATTGACAAGTGAATATAGAGAAAATAGATATAGAGTGCCTATGGATTTTAAGAACATTAGCTGACCATGAGTCTATTTCTACTTAACAAATGGCTCACATTTCTGAGGCATTTCAGCACTTCCCAACCTGCTATATGTTTGGCCTTTAGCTTATTTGTATTTTCAAAGTTTGAGCCAGCTTTTCTTCATTCCTTCGTAATTAATTTACCTAAATTTTTATCCGGCCTTTCTGGCGCCTTTGAACGATTCAAAGAACTAATCTTGCCTTCCAGACAAGGTGTTGCACAGTTTTCATAAAGAAGCAACGCAGGAATGTTGAAAGTCCTGCTAAATTGTTTGCACAGGATTGCTAGTCAAGTGTCCACCATTTATGATCTGTGGTTAAATAAAAAAAAATTAAAATTAAATCTTAACACTATTGAGTGCCAAACAGGCTGTCATTTGTCTCTGGTCAAGAAACAACCTGCTTGTAGTTTAGCTCAATTTATTTATAGAAATAAAACTAACCAGATCTGGTGCCTATCTAATTCCAGCTGTTTCAGAATGAAATGTAGTGGTGGTAAACATCTTAGTTGTGTATTAGTTTTAGTGACCTGTTATCAGTATGTGCTGTATTGCTGTTCAAAGCACTAGACTCCAGGGTTGTTCATAAACTTTAAACCAAGAGTAGATGTGATTGTTTGTTTCGATTATGCAGAAACCACTAAGCAAAAAGAGTTGATTTGGGTTTTCTAGCACCATCTTAAGACAAAAATTTGCTAGTTAGTTTGTAGAAGGCTATCAAATCAGAGTAAATTTAAGGAAACCATCTAAAAGGAAGACTTGACATTAAATTCATCCATATATAAGATATGTTTAATTTTTCAAAACTAGAATTCTAAACTAGGAGTTACAAAACACTGGGTACACAACAGCTAAATAGAGGCAAATATTTAACAATATTACTGGAAAAACTTTGAAGCCTCCCTAGAGACACAACTGTTTCCATGATTCAGTTTGATCGGTTTAAGTATCTTAGATTTTGAAGACAATTGAAACTAAACGGTGAAAGAGCTTTTAGTTCATCTCTAGCAGGAACCTCTGACGCAGATGCTAAGATTAGCATAGTAATGTTTATCCAGTCTCTGTATTCTCACAGAGCATACAAATTATTCATATCTCTGGAAACATTTCTTCTCTTTCCTGAGTACCCAGCATGTTACCAAACAAATGCTCCCTTCGACGCCTTACCAACCAAGTGTTGTTGGCCGGCCTGCCAGGCTGCTTTTATCAGCTAATTATCACCAACAAAAGACTTCCCTTTTACTTCAGAGCTATGTCAGGATTGCTCATCATGGGACATACTTCACAACCACTGTTGTGTTTTAAGACCGTGAGAACTCATGGCACGCTACCTTCCTGCTCAAAACATAATCAGGTTAAAGTGAACATCAAACGTTTGTTTTTTGCTCTATGATTAGACATTAATAGTGTAGCATCTTCTGTAGAGGTGCAGCTAGGAGAATTGTGTTAAGCTTCTTCTAAAGTATACATTAACTAGGGCCGGACAGTGTAGTTGGAAAAACATAACATGATGTAAGCATTTTATGTCAGTATAATTATTGATTATTTTTTTGTTTTAAATATCTGAGATACTTCCAAACTAGAGATGTTATCTTTCCTGTTTTGTCCACAGTTTTCACTCCACCTGTTATTTTTAAGCAGTTATGAGGGACAGTGGCGAAACCTGTAACTGCTGCTGCGCGAGTGACTCAACAGGTTGTTGCTAGGTAACCAAATACTGAGTTAGTTGATGCCACTTATCTTGCTTAGCTGGCACTGAGAGGTTGAGTGACTAAAGTATTTCCTCTGCCTACATCCCCCAGAATGCTATGCGGTTCTGGATCAGGGTTCCATGAACTTAAATATCCCATCAGACAGATTATCTATTGATATTGATCATGTATCTATCACAGTATAACAGTTCAGTACGTCGCCTCCTAGATGTTTTGCCTTCAAGTAGTGAATGTGTAAGATGACTGGAAAGTACAATAATTTTTTTTTAAGCGTTTTAAGTTTGCAAGGTTTGAGGATTCCATATGAAATCTTACTTTAAATTGAATGTCTTAGATTCCTTTCTTTTTAATCTGCAAATAGAAAACCACACCATAATCTTGTTTTTATTCATTTTTTAAAATCATGAGCAGATTGTCTGAAGTTCAGTGTTGCAATGGATGTGCAGCGAAAATGTTTTCCTTCTGCTTCTGTAAGGTTTTAAACGGCTCTTACTGAAGATTACATAACTTTACTACAGCAGTATGGGATTGACAGATAAACGGTGCCAATGTGCTCTGAAGGCAGGCTTCACAGCTACGATGTAATGTGATCCGTGAAGGTGGAGCATGGGTCGCTCTTATTACATGAGGACAAGGGAGCTGTCGTTGCCTGTTTACTGTGAAATGAAACCTACTGATTGTGGAACTCCCTCCCTCCCTTCCTCCCTTAGCTTATCTGTGGTCCAAACAAAACATTTTAAATAATATACATAAATCCTCTGAGTTTAAACAACAACAACAAAAAAAACCCCCCATAGTTTTTATATTTTAAAATTGTTTACATTACAATTTTTATTTAGGATGCATTAAAAGTTTGCTCTGGTTATTTGTAAAACTAGGTAGCCTCATGTTACATTGCTCATAGAATGGTAAAATGAGTATTTTATTGGTCAGCAGATTATTTTTTTTTTTTTGCCTGGTTTGAACTAACCAAGCAGATTGCTTGTGAAACCATCCTTTGCTCTGAGCCATGAGAAGTTGGCATGCGCTCTCCCTCTGCTCTGAATCACAATGAACAGGCAGGTCAGTGCAAGTCTCCCAGCTTTATTCGGAGCTGCTTGGAGCTGAGACAGAGCGCAGCCCTCTGTTAACAAGTAATAAAGATAAGAAAAACCTGTTGCTGCATAATTGTTGTATAATAAAAACATGTCACATTTTTAACATCAGGGATTGTGGTCACACCCTGACGCTCCCACTTAAGCTGAAAGGCTGATGGCTTGGCAGCAGCAACTTAGTAAAATCAGGTGTTAACCTGTTTGATGTTGCACATAAAGTTGTTTTTTTATGTTTTATAACTCTGCCTTTTAAAATGTAGATTTTCATATTTGATTTTACTGCATTTTCAAAAATTGGCAATCGATCCTCAGATATTGGTGCAAGTTAACATGGTGGCATCAGGTGGTTGCTGCAGAGCGCAAACATCGCCAAGTCGTCTGGATGTCTGAACACATTGAGATGCTGCCATGCAAAGTTGCCACTGAATCTATATAACATCCAAATATTCTAGATCAAATGCAGCACATTAAACTTGTAGATGTTGTAAAGGCAAAAATAATAATCACCCAACTTCTAAGATCAAATACTTTTGCAATGTAGATTTCAGTTGCTAGGTTTCTTTTACTCTATAATGAAACCTCTGTATGTGCGTGCGTGTGTGTGTGTGCGTGTGCGCGTGTGTGTGTGTGTATAATGGGGGCTGAAGTCTGCAGTGTTCATTGTGAAAGAAGCATCTTTAAAGCTAAATGTTTTGCTGGAGCCAGAAGCAACAGGATGAAACTGTCCCCTGACAAAAACTATAAATTATGTCTGTCACAGCTGATTTGTTGTCATATTTTGAAATGGTTTCATATGATACTATAACTTATGTTTGGTAAACCTAAAAGCCTGGCAGGTCAGTTTTACAACCTTTGAGCCAAATCTAGAACATAAAAACAGGCCACTTATCTGATGACTAATTCTTGTAAACAAAGTTAACCCATATAATTGAGTTTTCTTTAAAATTAAAATCAAAACTGTTTTTCATGTTCCATACAGAATAAAATCTCACTTACTTAGATTTTGCTTTTTTTTTTTTTATATACATTTTTAGAGTAAGTTAGAGATTGTTGTTGTCAAATGTTCTGACTTGTGTATTGCTCCAGGCATCGTAAGCTAAATCATGCGTGTGCAATGTTAATATGAGTCGACTCGTCATTGAGTTCACTTGTCTGTTGCAAATCACCTGGAAAGATCGAGAGGTAAAGGCAAAGTGCTGAATGACAAATAGTCATTTATTTATCTGAGTTTCTTTAACTTCGTGCAGGCTGTAAAACTCTCTGGCCTCTAATGATAGCAAGGCAAACATCTATAAAGCAACACACTCATGGTTATCAATGCTTGTTAGTTTTAACTGGAAGCCTGTTTAATTTTGCTGTTGTATTACATCATAGTTGTGTCTTATGAAGTTTTCCACCCAATTTTTTTTTCTCACTTAAGTTCAATTTAGCTAACTAAAGGAACAGAAAAAGCCTGCGAGAAAACACCTAGGGAGCAAAATGCAAGGTGCTCTTAGGGTTATAATCCAAACAGTTACTGTTTATAGCTTTATAGGTTTTTGACATGTCCAACTCTGGTATACATTGCTTCTGTGTCCTTATTTCACTCACACCAGCAACATGTCTGGCATATTTAGAAGGCATAACGAGCCTGTTTTTTAGTCCTCATGGCCGTGTTTGTGTTCCTGTTGGACCGCCCACACAGGCTTGTCCCTGCATCCATGAGCATGCAGCCAAAACTGCTCAGTGAAAAGGTCAGCGCATGTGGGCACAGCGACCCGTCCCTAGGACAAACGTGGAACCCTTCTGTTGCGTGCGTCTCTCGAGTCCAGATTCTTGTTGACATTACATGAGTACACAGCATGAGTCCTTTTTTGGTTTTGGTTTAGCCTGGTTCTTTTTTTCAGAATTGCACAAATTGCTTTGTACAAGAGAAGTCTTTGTTTCCTGTTCCCTAAGGAGAGCCGCTGTCTGGCACAAAAGCATTCTTTATTTTCTGTAATATTAACTTGTTAGTCAGTCAGCGAAGCTAATTTGAACAAGTGTTTGTTGGAAAAGCTATTTTTTTAGAAAAGACGTTTTATTACAACTACTGGTATCCTGGATGTCCATAAATCTTAAAAGTTTTTAGATGCATCATAGAGGCACTTTATATTTTACCAGAGTAGGGGTTTTCTTTAATTTTTTATAATTAAATAAAACAAACAACTTATTTGTTTTGTTGTTTTTTTTTTCTTTTTGGAAGAAAAACTTACCTTTTTTAAAAAAAAAAAAGAAAAAAAAAGAAAAAAGAATTAATTGTGTAATTAAATTATATTTACTTATTGTCCCCATGAAGAAATAAAATGATCCCAGTTATTATAAACCAATTTGAAAATAAAAAGTCCAGAGTCTTCACAATGCCAAATATGATGAACTTGAATTGGAAATGAACAAAAATACTCCTGATTTCAGTCCTGCGTTGTCTCTTTGGATGTCCATCATCCAACAGTGCTTGTGTTGCTGTGCTGATTTAACAAATCCTTACAGAACCTCCAAAGTCCTGTTTACATACAAAGTAGCGCTGCATGGTGTCGGTAGGACACTATGCGGTTTGCAACAGAAGTTTGATGGAAAACAGTTGTAACTTTGGTTTAAAATTAAGAAAATAAACTCAAAAACTGTATACTACAAATGCTTAAGTTGACAAATTATTATTAACATCAGCAATTAACTTGACTTTGTCAGGATCACTCAGTGTCTGACTCTTAGCACCCACTCTCTGTGAGGGGCTCAGAAGAGGAGAGCACAATTTCCGTGAAACACAGGAAGGCAGCTCCAGTTGCCTCAGCTTAAATCAGTGTCTCATTTTGAGCGGTGCTGCATCTGTTATTGCCAAACATTTAAAGTTCCCGTTTTGCGTTTCGAACTGTGAACACATGACTGTTACTCTAAGCGTGCGTCTGTTTTCACCTGCCTCCACTTCTGTCACTAAAGT